ATATGTTTTCATGTTTTGTCACTTTTCTGTCACTTTTCAGGAAAAAACATTTTTATTATATATATAAAATGAATTTTACAAAACCACCGTTACCCTTCTTTGGAAATAAGAGTAGATGTAAAGATATTCTATTGAGAGAACTTAAGAAACTACCGAATGGTCTAACATTTGTAGACTTGTTCGGTGGAAGTTTCTATATATCTCATTTGTGCCATACAATATTTCCTGACTCAAAGATTATATGCAATGACTTCGACAACTATATGAACCGTCTCAAACATATACCAGACACAAACAAAATATTGAAAGAGTTAAAAGAAAAGATACCTATAGGTAAGATGGAACGTATACCATTAGATAAGAAAAATACTGTGAGAGAGGTTTTGAAAAAAGCAGAATATATAGACTGGGATAGTATATCTGCTAGACTATTATATAGTGGTGCTATAAGAGTTCATGACATTGAAACACTTATGTCAAAAGTTTTATATCTTAACTATACAAATGTTTTCAAAGAGGACATAGAAAAATATATTGAGGGTATAGAGTTTGTGAGATGTCATTGGACAGAGTTGTATGAAAAATATAAAGACAAGGAAAATGTTTTCTTTATAGTAGACCCGCCGTTCTATAACACATGGGATTTTCAATACCAAGTAGACTGGACTTTGAGAGACTCTTTAGAAACTTTAGACGTTTTACATAACCATCCATGCTTTTACTTTACATCCGATAAAAGTGGTTTGGAAAGTGTCATGAGATGGTTAGAGGATATGCATGACTATGAGTTTAGATACGATAAGATAGAATATGAGAGAGGTCCTATAAACTGGAGAAAGTGTCACAACAAAGAAATTTTATTGGTAAGTAAATGTGGTTTGAAATAGGACTACTTGTTTTAGGTTTTTTCCATTGTGTCATTTACTTATTTGACGTGGCAGAAAGATATAGAGAATATGAAGATGAACCAATGCCTGCAAATGTCCAGTATATGTACTCGTAAGAGATATTTTTATCTAATATTAAATGGACGCACAGAACTTAGCGAATGCACAGCAACCTGGACAACCAAACCCAGAGAATATTCCAAATGAAGTTAGAATACAAACTGCAATGGCAAACTATGGTCAAGTGCCAACAGATGTACAAATGCAAACTGCCATGTCAAATGACGCTGCGTTAGGTTTGCCACCATGGTATGCAAATATGAGATGGAAAGAGTTTTATACAAACCCTGAAGTGGGATATAAACAACTCTATGCAGATGACGCGAACACAGGAGTTGACCCAGAATATGTTTTCTACCAGAGGAGAAACAGAATGTATGAGCTCCAGTTAAAGAACGCTATGGAACTCAACAGGAAACGTAAGAGACTAGGCGGACATTAGATTTTTACATATAGTAAAATGGGTTTCTTTGGAAGAATAGGAAACTTCTTTCGAAATGTTGGAAGAGGTATATGGAATGGAATAAAATCTGTCGGAAGAGGAATTTGGAACGGAGTCAAAAATATTGGTAAAAGAGTAGGTCAGTTCGTTGGTATTATACCTAAAGACCCTGAACCAGAAGAGCAAGCTCCTGTTATACAACAGCCTGAACCTGCACCACAGTCTAGTTGGCAACCAAATCCAACACCTCAACCGTATTAAAAAATCATATTTTTACCGTTCGATAGTAGTTGTATATGAGACTAAGTTCTAAGTAAAACGCATGGTATAATGGAATTATTCTCTTTCTTCCATCTGTAGTAAACCATACTTGAAAGTCTGAAATACTTCCACTCGGTGGTTCATATAGCTTTGTAGGTTTTTCGTAAAAGTCATTTGCCAAGCATAAAAAAGAGTTTTGTGCGCCAGAAAATGAAGCATGAACTATAATAGCATCTGAGTCGAAAACATTTTCATATGTTCCATTAGGGTTTTCGACTTCATAAAAGTTCGGGTGTACTGGATATTCTGCAGGCTGATTTAACATCCTCAAAAATCTATACCACGCCAAGTTGTTATATTTTGTAGAAATATAAACGTCTTCTCCAAGGTCTTCTATTCTATTGATTTTAACAGTTGCATTTTTCCTGTCATAAACAATATCGAGATGGTACTCTCCTTCGTCAATGTTGTACTGTTTTGCATATTCGAGATAGATATCGTTTATTTTTTCTTGAAAAGCTTGAAGAGTTGTTTCTAAGTTTACAAGCAAATTCACTTGTAAAAGTTTTCCCTGTTCAAATTTCTCATACGTACGTTTTTCTTTGTTATAGTATCGAACTTCAAAAGCGACCGTAAATGGGAACCCATGTATGGCTTCTGAAATGAACTTCATTCTACGAAAGCCAATAGCTTTTGTGACGGATGGGTCTCTTAACCATCTTAAGGGGTAGTCAAAACGATAGCCTTCATGCTTTACGGTCTCTGTCTCAAACTTTTGACCGACATTCGTAAAAAGTTCATCTAATGGTTTAGTTGTAGCAACTCTTGAATTTTCTTTTTCTATTGAAAGCATATTTTATCTAGAATAAAAATGTCGAAAGATATTGCTTCTATGAGAGAAATACAACACAACCGACAACTCATTATGCAAGCTCTAAATAAGAACACAACAAACTTTTCAAACTATTCTAAGATATCTGAGTCATTGAAAGAAGGAAACTTAAAACTGACATTAAACCCAATGACAGATGAGTTTCTGTTTCAAGACAGTAAGAACCATACTGTCTGTGTAAATCCAACAAAAGGAACTTTAAACGAGAAACCTATAAAAGAACTTCTTTTGAAAGCAGATGTTGACAACAAAGCTGACAAAGAGTATGTCATTGAAAAAGTTCAAGAAGAACATGACAGAGCAGATGCAACATATGCAACGAAAGAACATACTCATCCTGAACTAGCAGACAAAACATATGTTGACAATAAAATGTCAAGTGAAGTGACAAGAGCTGACAAAGAATATTCTAAAAAGACTCATACACATACCATTGCAAATATTACAAACTTACAAGAAACCTTAAACAGGAAAAGTGACGTTGGACATACACATTCTATATCTGAAATAACAGACTTAAACGTTAGCCTTGAAAAGAAAGCTGACAAAACATATGTCAACAGTGAGTTAGAGGAGAAGGTAGATAGGGGTTGTATGGCTAGTGCGTTAGTGAAGAAGGCAGATAAGGAATATGTGGATGAAAAAGACAATGAAATTAAAGAAAGGGTTGAATGGTATAATGAACGGACAACAAAGATTTTAGAAGGTAAAGCCAATACAGGGTGGGTTTCAGGATGTTTAGACCTTAAAGCCGACAAAGAAACTGTAGATATGTTGGCACAAACGGTTTCAAGTCATACCAGAGGTTTAATGGAAGATGGACAACAGTTGAAAGAGCTTGAGAAAGGTGTTACAGAGTTAAGGAATACAAAAGCAGACTCGACATGGATAAAAGGATATGTAGATGCAACAAAAGAACGTATTTTCGCATGGACAGAAGGAACATACCCACAAAAATATCATAGACATAGCATCTCTGACGTAAATGAACTTGAAGAAAAGTTATATAAAAAAGCAGACAAAACAGAGCTTCAAACATTAAAGACAGAAATACTTCAAACAGTATATCCTATAGGTTCTATTTATACGTCAATGAACTCTACCAGACCAGAAGTAGTACTTGGTTTTGGAACTTGGACTCAAATAGTCGACAGGTTTTTGTATTGTGCAAACTCTTCAAAGGAAACAGGTGGAAGTAAAACGATTTCAGGTGCAAATTTACCTGCGCACAGTCACTACGTAGATTTAAGTACATCTGAAGCAGGTTGGCATAAGCATAGATATTGGGATTGGACAGGAATGACAAAAGGTAAAGGATATGATGTTAAAGACGACGTTAAGTTTGCTATAAATTGTTACTGGGATGACACTCAGGGAGGAGGAAGCCATACACATCGCATTACAGGGTATACGCAAACAACGGGACAAAGTAAAGACTACATGCCACCTTACATGACAGTTTACGCATGGTATAGAATTGCTTAGTCGTCATTTTCAACTTCTTTAGCATATTCGTCAGGAGTTGTCTTATATTTGTTAGGAACTGTCTTTGAAAGTATACCACCTTGAACTTTGACAAGTTTGAAACGAGGTCTGACAATAGTAGTTTTATCTTCTGCTTGCAGTCTGTACATTTTGCCATGTTTGCCTAAAACTTCATAATATTCTCTTGTATACTTTCTTCTATTTTTACGAACACGAATGCGAGTACCTGTCGAGTTCCCATTGTTGTCATAGTCAATAGTATTTTCATATGGGTCGCGTTTAGGTATTTCTATTTTTACTTTGTCACCTTTCTTAAGTTTGAAGCCTGGCATTCTTTCTTGTTTGTCTCTTTTGACTAAACTATTAAATATATAGTCTTTCTCTAAGTCAGGGTTGTTTTTCATTTCTTCGGGGGAGTGGTTTCCCAAACCTTTTTGTTTACGGCTATTGTAAATATTTAAAACTTGTCTCATCTTTGCCATGGAGAAGTGTCTATACTTGTCGTCATATGACATTTCATTTGCTTCACCACCTTGTGGTTGGTTTAAGTCTCTTAAGATTTTTATACAACTGTCAATGACACCAAGAGCAGAATGGTTTTGGTCGACAATGAAATATTGGTTTACATTTTTTGAACGCAGATAGTTTTTAATATCGTCTGATTTGAAAGAACTTTCACAGTCAGATGTCAGTTTTGTTGGATGGTATTTGTCAACGAATATTGTCAAAGCAGTTTTCACATCTAAAATATTTTTGGACTGTAATGGTATGGCTTCACAGTATCTTGTGTTTTGACCAACAAATATTAGCCAGTATGGTGGTCCATCTTCTCTATACCTCGGAATGTTTTCCAAGATATCCATAAACCAAGCATTTGGTGTTGAACTAAAGATTTTTATCATGAGTGCTTTCTTTGTTGCCTTAGAAACATAGGGGTCCTTGTTCGGATTCGTCATTTTTTACCCTGTAAGAAATGGGTTTATTTGGCGCATTAGCAGGAGTTGCATCCAGATTTTTGCCCGCAGTGGGAACAATAGCCAGAGGTGTATTTGGAGTTGGAAGGAAGATTTTGAGTACATTAGGTATACTTAAAGAGAAAGCACAACCTATTATACAAACTGTACAGAAAGGTTGGGAGGTAGCACGAGATGCAACAAATCTTATTCCAAATCCTGAAACAAGAGGAAAAGTTCAAGGATGGATGGACAATGTAGGAAGACAAGCAGGAAACTACTATAACAAAGCAAATGACTACTATAACCAAGCAGGGCACTACATGGACCAAGGTGAAAGATTCTTTAACAGAGGATATAACCATGCACAACAATGGGTAAACAATAACCAACCTCAACCGCCTCAAACGTGGGAATGTAAAGTTTTTTACTGAGATGAAATGAACAATACAGCATTGAGACAAATGGGCTCAAGATGGATTTGTCGGCTTCCAGCAGTTACACAACACGTGTTTGTCAAGTTCTTCCTATACCTCAAGAAGTTTTAGACCGACTTAAAAAACCTAAACAACCAGTTGAAAACAAACCAAACTAAAATTTTTTACTGAGATGAAATGACCGAAGAAGTTGAAACGGTAGATTTGACACCACAAACAAAAAGTTCAGAACCATTGTCAAAAACCTGTCAAAGAACTTACAGATGAAGAGAAAAATTCAATAATAGAAAGTGCCAGGTCTGGAAATACAAACCCTAACTACAAAGTCACTTTTCATAGAAATGGAACGGCTAGTATCTCAAAAAAGAAACAGACTCTCACAAATAAAATATTGAAGTCTGAAGGAGCTTTCGAGACAACAGATGGAAAAGTTTACTTCACTGACCAACAGTTCATTATAGAACATCTCATTGACTTAGAGTCAAAATATTCTAAACTTTACAACAAACACAAAAAGTTGAAAGGAAAACAAAAACAAATGGCATATGATATTTATGAAGATGTTGACGACACAACCATACCTGCAAGTGAAGTAAAGTCAGGTGAACCAAAAAGTGACGAAAAACCGATAGAAGAAGGTGAGCCAAAAACTGAAGATAAACCAAAACCAAAGGTTAGTTTCCAAACTAAACCAAGTCAACCTTCATTAGCTGGTATGGGTTGGCGTCAAAGACTTATGGCAGCAGGCGGTTATGTAAAGTAAAGAAAAAAATATTTTTTTATTTTTATAGAAATGCCCCCATATAGAATGGATAGAAAATCTGCTAGAATAAAAGCAGAGTTAGAAAGATATGGTTGGAAAGTTTCAAAGAAGTTTAAATATAGGAAGGGAAGACCCATAAAAGTCTATGACAAATTGTCTGGTCTTCGCTATGAAATGGACTTGGAAAACAGCACGCGCAAATTATCCAAACAGACTAGAGAGGTTAGAAGAAGAACGTCTTATGGACATGCCTTTCGATGTTAGTGAGCCTCAAGTTGAAGGACACGACGGCTTTGCCAGGTTCTACTGGAAACATGACGAACAATTGCATCCTTTGAGAAGGAAAAAAAAGGAGGTGAAGACAAACATGCTCCCATGGAAAGAACAAGATATGCATATGAGAAGTATCGTGAAGTTAGAAGTCAAATTACATCTGGTCGAACCTTTACAGTAAACTTTGACGAAGGAAAGAACAAAGAAGGCTTCATGGGTGTACTTGCTGCCATACAAGACGGAAATAAGAAAGGATACAATCTCAGATTGACCATAACAGATTTAGATGGTCATATTTACTATGCACATGGCAATGTCACAACAGCCGCACAACTTCTTGACGCTTTCAAGACTACAAAGAGAGAACAAATGGTTGACTCCGACTCAGACATTTTGAATGCAATTGAAGGAATTGCAAGTGTAAAGTTTGAATGGTACCAACCTAACCCTCAAGCAGTCAGACAACATGCTGGATACTTCCCCTTCATAAATAAGTCTGACATTGACTTGACAAGGTATGGAATTTACAATTCAATTGAAACAATTGTCAATGAACCTTGCATTCTTACATGTCTCAGGAACTCTGGTCTTGTTACAGAAGAGAAGATGAAGTATCTTGAGTCATGTGTGAAGACAAGGTACATTCTCAGAGGTCAATTGGCAAAAATTGCACCGTTGGCAAATGTCAATATCCGAGTCAACATACCTACAGCTAAAGGTTCTTCACATGCGACTATGTTGTTGACAAAGACTTACCATGGTTGAAGATTGTAATTGTCCACAACCACTTCATGTTGAACGAAAGTCTTACAAACCCATTGTTCGGAAAAGGCAAGTGCAACATTGTCAGAGCTGTAAACATTCTTTTCGAGAAAGGTTTGTTGGAACCAATTCCAGATGACAAGCTGACAGAAAGTTTTTGTACCAAAAGACGAAACAAACTTTTCACTGTTAGCAAGACCAAAAAGTTGTTCCAGACAAAGTTATAGCACAAAAGAAGTACACAGTTCCAAAAGGAGTTGGATTGTTCGGATACCAACCTGAACCAGAAGAACTTCCAATGAGGTTGCAAGAACTTCAAGATGCTATAAACAAACTCCATTGAGACATCCAATCGACGTCAAATTGTATTGGAGAGCATCTGAGTTAGGTCAGAAGGTTTTATATGAAACAGGTTGCTTCGACGATGTTTATGAGATAACAGGAGAAGTTTCTCAGAAGATAAGAGACTCACTTGAATTTCCACAACTGGACCAATTGGTTGCGACAAGTTCGACTCAGATGAAAAGATATACTATGTCGACCTTAACGCTGCATACATGAGGTTTGTCCAATATATTCCGACTGGAATTCCAAACGAAGATGGTGAGTTTCCCAGGAAGGAACTATACAGTTGGAAAAGTCATACAACAACTGTATGATATTAGGAAAGCTTCAAACCCCAAACTTGCAATGACACTCAAATTGCTTATGAATTCGACATGGGATATTCCATTAAGAAACCTCAAGAGATGAAGAGTAAACATTATGAGAAGGTCGACAACTTTGTTGAAAGGTTTTCTCCTTTTGTTTTGAAGTACGAATTCACTCAAGGTCAAAGTGGCTTAGTAACCACATTAAAACCTATTGTCGAACATTGGTCTTACCCTCAGTTCGCAAAGGCAGTCCTTGACAACTACAACAAATTCTTCTCCGAAGTCAAATCCAAAGTCAAGGTTTACTATGAGAACATTGACGCACTCATGACGAACGAAGAAGGGTACAACAAACTCATTGAAATGGGTTTAGTCGGTGAGAAAATGGGCTGTTTTAAGCTAGATAAGGTATTTTCCGAAGTTCATGTCCTCTCCAAGCGTAAGTACTGGGGTGTTAAAGAAGATGGTGAAATAGTTAAACATTGCATGAAGTAAAACATTTCAAATGAAGTAAAAAACGTTGCATGAAATAAAACATTTTTTCAAAAAAATATATATTTTTATTTTATTTGAAATGTACGCTGAGTTTGTTGAAGAAGACCGTTGGGAAACTTGTTTGTTAGATGAGAAATATGAAATTCACTGTTGTGAGTCATTTGAAGTCAGAAACAAAAAGACAAAAAGAGTTTTAAGCGAATGGGAGCAAAATAACGGATATGCTATGGTGGATATGAGTGGAAAACACTATTTTAAACATGTTGTCATTGCAACTCATTTTATACCGAATCCTAACAATTTACCTTTTGTAGACCATATAAACCATATAAGAAACGACAATAGACTTGAAAACTTACGTTGGGTTACTCGTTCTGAAAACAATAAGAACAAAGGCAAAATTGGAGATATTGTATTCGAATTTGTCGACGAACTAGAAGATGAAGCAATTGAAATTACAGACTATGGTAAGCATACGCTTGAGTTTTACTACTACAGCGAAGAACAAGACTCTTTCTACTTTTATACCGGCGTAAACTATAGGAAATTACAAGTATATTTTACTAAGGATGGATATGCTTATGTAAACACTAGAGATACAGATGGAAAACACGTTAAAATACGTCTTAACAAATTCAAGAAGCTATATGGCATACCATTTTAAAACAATATATTTTTACATATATTAAATGCTTCAGGTTGAAAGAATACGGTGGAGCCAAAAGTGGCTCGACCTCAAAACAAGCATTTTATGAGCTTACTAAGGGCGTTATGAATGAATTCAAAGGTATTTACATACATCCTGACCTCGTTCATTTTGTTGCTAAATTCAGACAAAAATAATGTTTAGGGTAGATGGGTATATCTAACCTCTTTTCTAACCTCTTTTCTACCCTCTTGAATTTTCATGAATTTCCTTAAGATAGAAAAAAATAAAACTAACTTTATTTTTTTTAAGTTTGGTCATCCTTCACTGTATGACAAATATACTATATTTTACTTAAAAATATGCAAGCGGCTCATAGCTCAGTGGTATGGGCTACCTCGCTACAGGCGTCGAAGACCTCGGTTCAAATCCCGATTCGCGCAAGTTTTTTCCTTTTATGCAGTGAAATTTCATGTACATAGGTTACTTTGGTGTTAGACCCTAGTGAAGAAAATAGAACGATATAAGTTTACATTTGTAAGGTTACTTTGGTGTTAGACCCTAGTGAAGAAAATAGAACGATAGGAGTTTACATTTGTAAAGTTGGACGATAAAAATCTCTGCTCCTAGCAGTACTGCTACTGTCAGTAAAAGTACTGCTACTGTCAGAAAAAGTACTGCTACTGTCAGTAAAAGTACTGCTACTGTCAGTAAAAGTACTGCTACTGTCAGTAAAAGTACTGCTACCGTCAGTAAAAAGGAAAATTTGAGAGGGTTTTCGACGATAAAGTACTGCTACTGTCAGTAAAAGTACTGCTACTGTCAGTAAAAGTACTGCTACTGTCAGAAAAAGTACTGCTACTGTCAGTAAAAGTACTGCTACTGTCAGTAGCAGTACTGCTAGGAGCAGAGATTTTTATCGTTGTGGTCCGACGGTTAAGCCACAAACGAATGTCCGACGTCCCACCAACCGAGCCCATTCCCAAACCAGAGGAACCTAAAGCACCAGCCCCTGCACCTCAGTTCCAGCAAGTCCCTCCACCAAATTACTACCAATTTCCACCTCAAGGTTACTACCAATTTCCACTACAAGGCTTCCCGAACTACCCTCCTCCTCAGCCTATGCCTTACTTCCCCAACCCTTGGATGTTCCAGCAAGCTCCACCCCAGCAATTCCAATCTCAATCTCAATCGAAGAGAGACCAAGACTTCGAAGAAGGTCTGAACCGTTTACGCAAAGATTATGCCACAGCCCCTATGGAAGACGACAGGCTTTCAGTCTCTTCCCTAAAGTCGACCGATTCGACTCGTACCACAGATTCGGTTCGTGACCGTGAAGACTACCTCAAGCAGTCTGAGAGACTCTTCATCCTACAACCATTTACAACTGGAGCTCTCAAGAACATGCGCAATTACGAAGGTCAGACACCAGCTGGAGACCGCAAAACAGACGTACTCGCAAGAGCAGTCCAACTGGTCAAGACAAAGACTGAGATAGTCGACTTCATTCTTGCAGCTTGCCCATACAAGTAAAAAAATAAACAATTACGAGTTAAACTTTTTATTCTTTCTTTTCTGAGTTGTTTAGAGCTGGTTTCTCTTGTAGAAACCTTTCGTACTCTTCCATGGTCATGTAATTGCGAATTTGGTACGCAATTCCAGGTTCGTTGTTTTTGAACCTTACGTATGTAACGCTTCCATCTTCCTCAGGGAAGTAAGCTGCTAACATCTGACCAAGTTTTCTCGGTGACTCGGAGCTCATAAAAATGTCACTTTTTTAAACCTTAAGTTTTTAGTCTTATTTTACCCTTTGTTTACCCTTTGTTTACCCTTTGTTTGTCAAGGTAGTATTGGAGTGCAATTTCTCCAAATTCTCTGTGTCGGAGTTCTTCAGCATTTTCCAAGGTGTACCTGGAGAACTCAAAGAAGTTGTCAAGAAGATACTGCCATGCTGCTCTTCTGAGTTCGTCGGTATTTTGGAAGTGTTGCACCTTCGAGTCTTCGGACATGAAAAAAATGACACTTTTTCAGCAAAAATAATGTTTATGTTAGAATGTTAGATCTAACATGTTTTCTAACATGTTTTCTAACATGGTCTAAAACTCTTGAATTTTCATGAATTTCATCGTAAATGTTTTGTCACCCGTTGAATTTTGTATAAAAAGCAACCCGCTGTTTTCCGCGGGTTGGTATATTCTTCACAAAATGCTTGTTTTGAGGTCGAGCCACTTTTGGCTCCACCGTATTTTTCAACCAAAACTCTTGAATTTTCATGAGTTTTCCCGAAATAAAAAATAAAGTTGGTTTTTTTAAAAAAATATTTTTTTATTTTTATTGTAAGAACATGTTAGCAACTACAGCACCAAACTCGTTAGTCATGAATCCAACATCTATGTTAGTAGAAATGAAAAGCTTCATTCCTTCTTCATATACTTTCGAAACAAAAATCCAGAAGATAAAGCAAGAACTTTTAACAAGTAATTTAGACTGTAGTGCGAAAGATGAAACAAATGAACAGTATCTTTATGAAATGCAGGACATTATTGACCATTTACCCAAATTGCCTGAAATCCAACAACAAAAACTAACCATTCCCGAATTTGACGAAATAGAAGTCAAAGCAACTGACTCAGTAGAAATAAAGAAGTTCATACGAAAGGTAAATTATGAATTCCTTGGTTTTCATTGCAACCATAAGGTTATGGACAAAGATTGCGACATGGTATATAAGAACATCTCTGACCTTTACAAATCCGAAGAATTTAAGACCTACGACAACTTTGTTTCGTTAGTTGCAAAATGTGTTTGGGAAATAAGAGATAAAGATAGTAGGGGTAAGGTATGGAACGAACAAATAAAACCCGCTATGTTCGAGATGAAGAAAACCATTGACGCCTTGGTCATACTTGCAGGTAAGGTTTCAGAATATAACGCAAAAATGAACCCGCAATGTTCAAAATGTAAAGCAGCAATGAGGAAATATAACTACTCCGTCAAAGAGATAGAACGTATGAGAAACGACTATGCAGACTTAAAGAAAGAAGCAGAAAAACCAGCAGAAGATAAAATGAACATGTTAGAATTTCTGAACAAAAACTATCCAACCGCTAACGATTTCCTTCTTTCAGATGTCAAGAAGAAGTATAAAGAAACTTTCGGTATCGTTAAAACTTTTGACATACTGACAGAAGAAATAGAAGCTACGAAATTGTTTAGAGTCATGAACCATCGCAACATATACCATGTAAAACGCTTGTAAATAGTTATGTTAGAAAACATGTTAGAAAACATGTTAGATCTAACATTCTCACATAAACATTATTTTTATTGAATTCCGTATGAAATTTCATGAGTTTTGTGTGTTTTAGACCATGTTAGAAAACGTGTTAGAAAACATGTTAGATCTAACATTCTAACATAAACATTATTTTTGCTGAAAAATGACCAAATTTCATGAATTTCCTCATAAGATTGCTATCCTCGAAAAACCGAGAGAAGAGATTCCGTATGAAAACAGTGAAGAAAAGCGAGTAGGTAAGAAACCCCAGTCGCCAAAACTCTATGAAAATCGTGAAAAATAACAGAGTATTTTGACAACTTCAAACAAGTAGGGTAAATGAACTCTTTATTTTTCAAGCTTGACTTTTTACAATTTGAACTTTGTTCGCGTAGATGTGAATTCTGAAAGAAGTATGAGGGTCTTGTATGACTTTGTACTTCTCCCATAGTTCATGTCTGTCAAACTTACCTGCCATGGACTCTTTCATAAGTTCCATGAAATCGTCTTCGGACAATCCAGGGAAAAGTATGATATCAGTAAGTATTCTTTTAACATCCTTACTTAAACTCTTTGCTGTCTGTACACAAATGACAACTGAGATGTTAAAGTGTCTGAGCTTCTTAAGAATTCGACACATGTCTTGTTCTCTGTTCTTTAACAAAGGATGAGAAGCAAAGTCGTCTAAGATAAGAAGACACCTATGAGGGTAAGTCTTCCAATCGTAAGATTGCAATTTCTTCGAAATGTACTCAATCTCTTTCTGTTTGTTTTCTGAAGTGTTTCTTCTCTAATATTCTCTGCATTTCCTCATTTGGGTCTTTGAACTTAGAATTTATATACTCATTTATAGCATTATACTTCAAAACTCTCTTTGGTACTTCTTTATCCAATCTAACAACTCAGTATCCTTTATACATACTAACTTAGACTTCTTTATAATATCTTTGAACGAATTGACGGTTTGGTCAAATTGACCAGAAGTACTACAAATGACAACTAACTCATAAAATGGGTTCTTCTCATCTAGTTCTTGTTGTTGTGCAGCCATTTTAAGATAAGTGAAAGTCTTACCCGACCAGGTGGTGCAATTAGACCTGTTTATACCATTCTGAGCAAATAAGAACTTGTCATGTATGGGTTTTATCTGAGCATTTTCTAACTTCCTCTTGTTCTTGTTTAAAACATTCTCAAATTTCTTGTCAATGTCAGCAAACTTTTTTTCTAACATATTTTAAGAAAAATTAAAATTTTTATCTTTTTGAAAATGTCTTAGCGATTTCGCTATCTATATTCGAGACAAGCTTTTTGACAGCAAAACATCTGTCGACCATAAAATCTTACATAGTGTAAACAAGAAAGGTGAATTTGTTCTATAAAGTTCTGTTTCTGGGAATATGACAAGAACCATAAAACCTTAAGCAGAGCAGTCTTAAATTTGTCAATGACAGACTTGTTGACAGAGATGACGCCGATTGGAAAGATGAAGTCCAACAAAAGTTCTTAGAATGCAAAGAAGACACATGCGCTGTTCTTGAAGATGAAATAGGAAACAGAATAGAAGAGCTATTAAAGGACAAAGAACTTTTTACATAAATATGGTTGCGCCAAATTTGACATAACTCCACCAGAGAAGAAGAAGAAGAGAGAAAAGAAAGAAAAGAAAGTAGAAGAAAAGAAAGTAGAAGAAGAGAAGAAAGAACAGAGCCAGTTCCAGAGGAAAAAGAAATTTGACATGTAAAAATAAAATTTTATTTTTAGAACATTTCTGGGTCAATGTCAATGTTCTCTTCCTCTTTAGGAGCAAACACTGGCTTAGACTCTAAAATCTTTTTACCTAATTTACCTTGAACTTCAACTATCTTAGACTCATAATATTCATAGTCGTCTGCTTTCTTTGGTTCATAAGGTATAACAAGTTTGTATGCTTTGCCTTCTTTAAGGTTTGAGAACCTTCTGTCAAAATTTTCTTTGACTGCTAACAAACCTTCTATGTCTAAGTCTTCAAATTTCGCACCATTTTTAGTCACAATAGCAAACTTAACGGGTTCGATGTTCCAAACTTTGTCATATGTAGACTTTTCAAAATGGTAGAAGTAAACATTCAAATAAGCGAATGGGTCTAGTTCTTCTTTAAGTCCTGACATATATTTGTTGACTGAAATATATTTCGTCATCTTTTCTATCGGATAAAAAAATATTTTTTTAAAATTTACTCATAAAAATTTTTCTTTGTATATACGCCGTTCTGAACATCTAAAAGACTTTTGACATTTGCCAAGAATGTACGTTTAGACGCTGCCATATAACCATACTCTTGACAATATTGTTTATACGAGTCGTACAAAGACCTTTCATCTAAACACTCAAAGTTAGTCTCATCTATAAACAGTTCATATACACTCTTGTTTGCTTCTAACAATGTTTGTCTTTCTTCGGTATGTGGAATTTGTCTTGGATTGAACTTAGAAATATCTAATGTCATGAAATATGAGAACAAGTGGTTGTAAAAGTCAGATGTCAAAGTTTCTGCTAAGTCGTCAAAATATTCTGTATCTTGCATATGAGCTTCTGACGTTCTGACAACTACATATCTTCTGTCAGAACTTTCTAACTTCATCGGAACGGCGTTGTTTGAAACCATGATGAAATTTGCAACATTTTCACAAACTCTTTGGTCTCTATACTTTCTTTCAACAACTCCAACTTTGTCTGTTATAAGACTCTTCAAAGCATCTGAGTTTAAAACCTTTGTTGTATCTATACTTGAAGTTCGTTACATACTATAAGTTTCATATTCTCTATTGAAGAGTTAACTTGCCACAGATGTTTTCTATGTTTGTCATATTCGGGTTCGAATAGGCCCTCTAACAGTTTGCACAAAATATCTGTAAAGAATGTGTTTCTTACCAGTTTCCTTGTTTTCCATTATAATGAGAGCAGTTTCATTCTTAGCACTTGGATGTTGTAAGATGTTTGCAAACCAACATAAGATATACTCATAGACTCTTTCGTTTCCATTGCATATAATTTCTTTGACATGGTCTAACCAAGCTTCTATAATATTTTCTTTCCATTCTACTTGTTCGTATTTATATCCAGTGAAGATAGAATAGAAGTTTGGAGATGGTGTATAGAACTTATACCACGAACTGAAAAATCTTCTAACTTGACAATAAGATATCCCAAGCATCTAACATCTTCATACCAACTTGTACGACTTTTATTTCTTAAGTTTCTGTCTACATTCTTGTTCTGAAACTATTGTCGCTCTTGGTTTGTTAAAGACAACATCCCATTCTTTCATGACATAACAATTCTGGGGCAGAGTCGACATAAATGACTAAACGTTTCAAATTCTCGACTGCTTTGTTATAGTCTCTAAATGGACACATATTTCTGAACGCTTGGAAGTCATAAAAATCTGAAACGTCTATTCTGTACATTTTTATAAAAAATAAAAAAAATATTTTTTTTATTCTTGACTTTGTTGTTGCATTTGTTCCATTTGTTGCATTTGTTGTTCTTGAGCTATTTGTTGTTGAAGTTGTTCTTGTAGTACAATACTTTCACCAGTTGCATCTTTCCAATTCGAAACTTTCTGCCGTCATTGACAAATACATAGGACATAAAAGTTTTACAGGAACAAAGTTTGCGTCAACTAAGGTTAAGTTTATGTTTGCTAAAGTGTTTGAGTTTACTAAAGCTGAAAACTCTGCATTCGAATGAACAATAGGCAAACCAGCAGAGAAAGTGTTGTTTTATACGCATGAGTAAATCTTTTGTCATAGTAGTTTCTGTCGACATTCGAATAGCACTTTGAAACCTAAGTTTGAAACAATATATAAAATAGGTACTTAAAGTCAATGGAACAGACAAACCTTGTATGACACCTTTTCCTGTTATAGGAAACTGTTGGTAGTAAAAACCAGATATAAGTTTTGTATTATAGCTCATATTGTTTATAGTAAACTCAGTCGGACATCCAAACATAATGAAACCTGCTCTAGTTGCAGCACATTTTACACCCGTACTTAAAAGTATTAAATAAGTCAACAAAACCTGTTGGTGGTATATCTGAGTAAGTATCTTCAAAGAAGTATTTTTTACCATTCACAACAACAAAGTCTTCTGTGTCAAAAGAGCAAAACAGGCTTTAGTCGTCATCGTGTTTAAGGTCAGTTTACAATATCGTCCTTGAGGACTTTGTAAGTTTGTTGTTATAGAATTATATGACTCAGGGTTTTTAGTCGTAATAGTATAAACCACTATGTCTTCTGCCATTTACTTAGCAAACAAACTTTAATGAAATGTTGTGGTCGTCAAATATTTTTATGACGTCTGGGAAACTATATTTTAAGTTCAACGTTTCACCTCCTTTCATAACGTATATCTTGTCAATGACATTGTATGAAACACCACAGCAAGCAATGTCGGGTTCTATTTCTTTGATGTTTATATCGTCTGCCTCTGTCAAAAGTTTCAATAGTTCTTTCAAAACTTCATGAGGTGCAATGACATATGAGTTCACTTTTACAGGGTTGTGTTCAACCAAGTTTAACATTATACCCAAAGCTTGACAAATCTTCTCCTGAGTTTTAAGTTTGTCTTTAAGTTGTTGGTAGTCGTTTCGAATATCTGCAACAGAACTTAACTCTCTGCTAACTTCAGGGTATGTTGGTTGTTCTTTTACAGGAACTATTGTTTATACCATCTTCGTCTTCGTATGGTTTCCCCACTTCAACATCTCTTTCTTTGACATTGACAACAACACTTTGACTGTTTGTTTGAGTTGGTGAATTTAACTTCACATCTGCCATCGCCATTAAACCTTTTGAAACACTTACGCTTCTATTTTCGGAAATGACATTTTACTTAGAATAAAAAGATGGACGTATTTGAGTATCTCTTCGAATTGAAGCAAAACAAAGTTTACACACACAAACAATACAAGTTCATTGACAGAATAGTTCTTTATACAAACAATGGTAAATGTTATAGAATAGCAGTCTTTGCTGAACCTAAATATTTTCATAAAGCAAAGAAAGTTGGTATAACTGAAATGGTGAAAGTTCTTGACGTTGACAAAAATAACACAAAACTGACCGATATTTCTAAAGGTAAGTTTATAATACAATATTATATCAAAACTGGCGTACTGTCAATATTTGACGGAGAGAAGTCAGTTCAAGAACACTTACTGACCTGCTGCCAAAATCTGCTCGATGGAAGCTGTCGTTATACCAATCTGAGGAGCCCCAGCAGGTTTCATCGAACGAATCTTCAAAAGAGCATCTTCCGTGAAAAGTGCTATTGGTTTTGTAACTTCTTTGCTCTCAGTTCAATCTGGACCGTCTCTGTCACCAGTATATTGTATTGTACAGTACCAACAGTTGAAATACCACCCATAAAGTCTTCTGAGTCAGCAAATGGAATGCCAAGCCAAAAGTTTGAACGGTCTCCATTTGTATATTGAGTTTTTTGACCTCCTGTATGAGTCCATACTTTCACATATGGCATAATAGAACTTTGCATTTCAGGGTTAATGGTTTGTGAAGTTGTTGTTAAAGTTCATAGCATCTAATGTCAAGTTGTATGACCTCATATCCTCAACTGTAGAATATTCTTCTCTTGGATAGTATTTGCCATCTATGTTTATATGGTATTTAATACCAGGGTTGTAGAAGCAAGAATAGTCATTTATAGTTCGTCTGAACAGTACAAACATAGTATCTGCATGTTTCATTGCAGTTGTTAAAGCAATATCTGTTCTTGCACCTGGGTCAGCACTTTGGTTTCCAACTTCACCTGCAAAGTCTTTGACAGATATTTGGTGTATAGGGAACATAAGTGGAACTGCAATATATTTGGCAGCTAAAGCATTTGAAATATCTGGGTCCAACATATAGACTGCAAGTCTGCTTTCTATTCTCTTGCATTCAAACTTTTCGCATGTGAACTTAACTGGGTCCCAAGCATCTCCAGCAGCATTGAAATAATAGTTTACTTCAGTGTTGAGGTTTGAGAAACCAAAGTCTAAGTCAACTTTGTTTTTGCAAAAGTCGGCGAATGACATTTTATTTGTTCCCACTACTTCTGTAAGAGTGAATGGGTCTTGTGTTGGTGCAATGACTAAGTTATTTTTGCTTGGAGTAAGTTCGATAGAAATTTTTCCTGCCCAGTTTGGCAAGTATCTTAAAAACCTGAAGATGAGGAAAGATGACAAAGGAACTCTAAGTTTCAGTTTTACTTTGGTTACTGCTGCTGCAGTTTGTCCAGAAAGGTCAACATAAACTCCTGGAACGTTAGGGTCAAGTTTTCTTATTTTCTCAATAGTTGCATACTGGTCTGTTTGTTCTCTAGCTTGTGGTTGTACTGAGTTTCTCAAAGCGAACCATTCATAGTTTGCCCATGTTACTGTTTGAACTAAGTCAGAGTTAGAATATATCTTATATCCCATGAAAACTTCTGGAGCATATTGGTATCCGACATAGAAAATTCCATTGCAACCTTTCTTGTCAGACAACTTGACAGAAGGTTTTATTTCAATGTCTTGTTCCACGTATAAGAATGAGTTGTCAATAGAAATTATATGAAACCTGTCGCAAGCAATATCTACTGTTGTTGAAGAACCTTCTCCAAACTCACCTACATTTCCATAAGAAACAGCAGTTGTATATTCGTAAGTTCCAGGAACTATTTCTGACCTTCTAATGGCATTGTCGCATTCGTTATACCATTCGGAAACATTTCCATTCATAGCATCCAAAACTGTTGGCGTTATATTCTGAGCGGCGTACATTTCATATGAGTAAAAATATAGAATAGTTGGATTTATATGTCATAATAGAACCCACGTGGACCAAGCTTTACTTTCTTCCTGACTGAGTTTTTAACTCTTCTTTTTCCTTCATTGCCCTCTGCTTCAAGTTGTTGCATCTTTGCCTCATGTTCACCTAGTATGTTGTAAATTTCCCATGTCCTTTTTGCCTTTGGGCTCTGGTCGCCCATCTCAGGTAACCTATATCCTAGAAAGAGTTTGTCATAGTTTGTATTTGAGTCTTTGCGTATTGTTTGCATGACTCTGTCCTGAGTTTCCGGTTCAAGCTCTTCAAATATAGCTTGTCCATATGGAATAAGCTCGTTTCCAAATATATGTTTTTGTAGCCATTCTGGTTTTCTTTCCATGTTACCAATAATATCTTTTGTGAATGGGAAAGCTTTTACCCAATGTTTCAGTCTTGCGTCATTTATTTCTGTAGTTGGTTTTATTTTGTCAAGGAACATGTTTTTCAATACTAACATTTCATTTGGTACTGTCCATTTGAGTTTTCTTAAATATTCATCCCTTCTCGGTTCATTGTCTGCAAAGTAAGTTTTTATGACATTTTGCAAACTTTCGTTTGCAAGGTCATGTACAATAGGTTCTCTTCCTTCTCTCTCCCTAACTTTCTTTCTAAACTCTTCACCAAATATACCATCTCTATGGTTCTGTGTAGTTCTTTGAGATAAATGTTCTAGAACGTCAGGTGTTATATTTCCATCAGCCATGTTCATTTCATACTGGTCCAAAATATCTGCATGTTTCATATCTTTCAATGGCATTAAAGCCGCGCTTAAAATACCAGCTATATCTTGTTCACCATTGACTTCCATTGCGTCTACAACTTCTTGGAATTGTGGTTGTAAGTTTATGAACCACCTATCCGGGTTAGCTTTATGACCCCATCTCATTGTAGTTCCATCGTCTGCAGAAACAAAAGTAGGTTTGTTTCCATCTTGGTTAGGTTCTGAATGAACTTTAAACAATGTTTCATTTCTATATGTTTTCTTGAAATTTAACCTTTTATTTTCACCGAGTTCATCCAAAGATTGAACGTTAAATGCTCGTAAGTAAAAAGGGTTGTTGTATTTGTGTACATTTTTTTTCAGTTCTTCCATTCTATGCTGGATATTTTCATCTGATGTTGGAGTCTTTTGTATGTCGGCAAACATTTTTCGATATTCTTCTACTATGTCAGCCGAATCTTTCTTAGACTCTTGGAAAGATTCCATATTCACCTCATGCTCTTGTTGAGGGTCAAGATTTTTCGGCTGTTCCAAATCTTCATCTAGTTCTGTGAAGTTAGTTTCCAAAGGAAGGACTTGTTCGTTTCCTTCAGGCTCTTCTAGCTGTTGTTGCTGAACTATTTCTTCCATGTCTGGTTGTATCTGAACTTCTTCCTGTGGAGTTTCTTGTACCTCATCTGCTGGCATTTCATATATTCCGAGACCGTTTTCAACAATTTCCCTATCTACGTCATCCGCATTCATAAGCTTTTGTTCTTTCGTTCCGTCTCTATTTTTTACGCGTTTCATGACGAAAGTTGAATTGTCATTTAGCTCTGACATCAAATATCTCGGAGTAAATTCATCCATGTCATTTGGATGATATGCTATTAAATCATATCCCTTAGCGAGCTTGTATTTTCCAGGTTTGAGATTATATCCGTTTTGGTGCTGAGCCATAAAGCTAAATAGGTTCGGGTCAGTATTTCCATCCTTGAACTTTCCAATAGCTTCTTTATATCTGTCACTAAAGTCAACAGTATCTGGGAAACCACACTCTTCTTTAAGCATTTTTAAGAATTCTTGGTTTCCTTGTTCTCTACTTCTTTTATGTCCTTGCTCTGTTTGTGGTTGTTGTTGTGCAGGGTTTTGAACTGTTGGTTGTGGTGCAGTGTTTTGAACTGTTGGTTGTTGTGCTGGTTTTGGTGCATGCCTGTGTCTGTGTCCATGTGACGATGTAAATGTGTTAGGTAGTCCTGGTGCAGGTGCTTCTCTTGGAGGGTTTGGTGGTATATAAGTTCCACCAGCTGGCACATATGTTCCATCTGCAGCGTAATGTCCTACCTGACTTTTCGTTCTTAAGAAAGCATTTACTAGGTCTGTTTTGGTCTGTTGTAACTCTTTTTCTTGACTTTTCACAACAGTTGCTCTAACGGCGTCATAGGCACTTTGAACTGCCTGTCTCGTTGCTGCATCTGTTATTTTCGTCATATTTTGTGCTACTTCTCTTAACTCTTTGTCGAAACCTTCAGACTTCAGTTTCTTTCCAGATGAGAAGTCGTTCACTTGTTTCACCTTACTATGAAGAGCTTCGAAGGCGTTCTTAAAGTCAGCATTCGTTAAAGCTTCATTTGAACTGTCTTCATCCGCTTGTATTTTTGTCCTTATTGACCCTATGAGTTGGGCTGCTTTAGCGTTGGCTTGGGCATCTAACCAGTCATTGTTAGCTTTTATATATTCTGCGCTTTTCATTGCCTTTTGCATAGCCGCGTCGTTATTTTTACTTTCTTGTGCTAAGTTTTCATACTGTACGGTTTGGTTTTGCAACTGTAAAAGTTTTTCTGCCTTTACATTTGCTTCAACTTCTTTTTTATACTCATCGCTATCCATATATGTCTTCAGGGCTTTTTGTTTTATCTCTTCATCTTTCAGTATTTTATATTGAGTAGTATGGTTTTTCAAATTTACAACATCTTGTTCCATTTTTGCTACTTCTGCTGCTTTTTCTGACACTTTTTTCGCATATTCCTCTGTACTTAGTTCTTTCAGTTGTTCTTCTTTCTTCTTTTTCTCTACGTTTAACTCATTGAGTTTCTTTGTGTGTCTGTCATATTCTAGTTTCTTTTCGTTTTCACTTATTTGCTTCTGTATGTCTATGTTTGACTTTTTGACATCTGTTATTTGATTTTTGAGTGAACTCAAATTCATTTGACTTTGAGGGTTATAGGCTGTTCCGTCTGCAGCTCCACCATAGCCTGCCATTTTCGCTAAAAGTGCCGCTCTTAAACCTCCACTCTGTGCACCAATAACTCGGTTTAAAAGCATAGGGTTGCTTGACATTTGTTGCAACATAGTGGGGTCATTCATCATTTGTTGTTGCAACTGTTGTTGTGGTGTCAGTTTTACTATTGGATGTTTCAATGCTCTCTTCCTCTTACGTATATTCTTACGTAGCTTACGTGGCATTTTAAGTGAAGTTAAAAAGCGGTTTTTGACAGATGTTTATATGATACTTTCTCCAGTTTATAGGACCTCTCTCATATTCTATCTTGTCAAGACTTCTTCGTAAATGTTTTGTCAAGACTTCTTCGTAAATGTTTTGTTGAGATTTCTTCGTCAATGAGTGTAAATGACCAAAAATAATGTTTATGTTAGCATGTTAGATCTAACACGTTTTCTAACATGTTTTCTAACATCGTAGAAAACTCATGATTTCATCGTAAATGTTTTGTCAAAACTTTCTTGTCTATGTTTTGTCAAGACTTTCTTGTCTAATTTCTCATGAACTTTCATCGTAAATGTTTTGTCGAAACTTCTTCATCGTCAATGTTTTGTCAAAACTTTCTTGTCTATGTTTTGTCAAGACTTTCTTGTCTATGTTTTGTCAAGACTTTCTTGTCTAATTTCTCATGAACTTTCTTGTCTATGTTTTGTCAAAACTTTCTTGTCTATGTTTTGTCAAAACTTTATTGTCTATGTTTTGTCGAAACATTTACGATGAAATCATGAAAATTCATGAAAATTCAAGAGTTTTAGACCATGTTAGAAAACATGTTAGAAAACATGTTAGATCTAACATTCTAACATAAATTATATTTTTGGGTCCTTTACGCTCATTACGAAGAAGTTTGACAAAACATTTACGAAGAAGTTTGACAAAACATTTACGATGAAGAAGTCTTGACAAAACATTTACGAAGAAGTCTTGACAAAACATTTACGAAGAAGTCTTGACAAAACATTTACGAAGAAGTCTTGACAAAACATTTACGAAGAAGTCTTGACAAAACATTTACGAAGAAGTCTTGACAAAACATTTACGAAGAAGTCTTGACAAAACATTTACGAAGAAGTCTTGACAAAACATTTACGAAGAAGTCTTGACAAAACATTTACGATGAAATCATGACAAAAAAGTCAACGGCTGGTCGGCTGGGGTTCGGTCCTCCTCTTGGGTCTTGGGAAAAATTCTTAGGGCTAGAAGGCACGAAGTGCCTGGAAGCCCCACTTCCTTTTTTTTTTTTTTTTTTTTTTTTTTTTTTTTTTTTTTTTTATATTATGAGCCAAATTAAAAATTGTTTCACTCCATAAGACTGTAAAACGTGTCACAGCATTTTTTTTGTCCCAAAAGTGCCACAGCAAAAATTTTTTACAAATCATGTCAAGTTCAGAGCAAACAAAAAATGAAGTTGGATGTTATTTTAATGACATTAAGCCAATTGAGGTATTTGAATACCCTAGTCAAGCATCAAAACTTATTTGGAATGTCAATTCCGATAATATTTTACAAACGTCATCACAAATTATAGAATTTATTAAATCTAACAAAATACCTATCCAAATGACACTTTACTTGATTGATATATTTTCACAAATTCGTGAAAAAGATATTAAATTATTTACAGAACTTTACAAAAAGATATTAAACGAATTCTCATGCCTAATCAAACCGGAAAATGAGAAATTAGCGATGTTATTATATTATAGAGGTTTCAAATTTGAAAACTTCGAATCTGAAATGAAAGAAGAAAAAATCCTGAATTTGTATCCAACAGAATCTCCTTTATACTATATTGCATGGGATAAAGTTGATGATCTTAAGAGTAAATTCCCAAATCTTGATATTAATGAGAAGATTAATGAAATCACACCACTTGATTGTTCAATTAAATATGGTTCAGAATTGTGTTTCAATTATTTGAAAAATTTAGGAGCTAAATACACTAAATACTCCGAAATGTATGCTGTTCAAGGCGGAAATACAAACATTTTTATGGAAATGATAGAAGATGGTAAATCATTTGATAACATGATTAATACAGCATTGGATTATCATAACTATGAAATTGCTAACTACCTTAAATCAAACTTTGGACAAACTTTTGATTCAATAGCAGAAAGTATGCATTTCGGAAATTATGATGTTGCATCTTATTTACTTTCTAATGGAGGAAATATCAACAAAATTTATATTCTCTTTATTTTCACATTTTTAATTGTTTTATCTAATTCTCTTTCTTTTCATTTTTATCGTTGTTTTATAGGATTTTCTTTCTTTTCATATTTACCAATGTGTTATAGAGTTTTCTTTCATTTCATATTTATTATTGTTTTATGATATTCTCTCAATATTAATGAATGCCCTCTTAGTATTGCAATCAAAGCGAAATCAACGGAAATTGTCAAATTCCTAGTCGAGCATGGTGCAGATGTTAACATGAAACTTATTCTCTTTCTTTTAATATTTATCATTATTTTACGAAATCCTCTTTCTTTTTATATTTATCATTGTTTTATGGAACTTTCTTTCTATTCATATTTATCATTGATTTATTGGATTTTCTTTCTTATCATATTTATCGTTGCTTTATCACATTCTCTTTCTTTTCACATTTATTATTGTTTTATAGAACTTTCTTTCTTTTCATATTTTTCATTATTTTATAGAGTTTTCATTCTATTCATATTTATCATTGTTTTTTTGCATTATCTTTATTTTCATATTAATTATTGTTTTATTCAATTCTCTTTCTTCTCATATTTATCAATATTTTATAATTTTCTCTTTTTCTTCATATTTATCAATGTGTTATAGAGTTTTCTTTCATTTCATATTTATTATTGTTTTATGATATTCTCTCAATATTAATGAATGCCCTCTTAGTATTGCAATCAAAGCGAAATCAACGGAAATTGTCAAATTCTTAGTCGAGCATGGTGCAGATGTTAACATGAAACTTATTCTCTTTCTTTTAATATTTATCATTATTTTACGAAATTCTCTTTCTTTTCATATTATCCATTGTTTGATAACATTTTCTTTCTTTTAATATTAATTATTGTTTTATGTAATTCAATTTCTTTTAATATTTATCATTTCTTTATGAAATTCTAATTCGTTTCATATTTATCATTACTTGACATAATTTTCTTTCTTTTAATGTGTATCATTGTTTTATAGAATTCTATTTCTTTTCATATTGATCAATGTTTGATTACATTATCTTTTTCTTCATATTAATCCTTGTTTTATAAAACAATCTTTCTTTTCATATTTATCAATATTTTATAGTATTTTCTTTCTTTTCATATTCATCATTGATTTATTGGATTTTCTTTCTTTTCATATTTATCATTGTTATATAGAACTCTCTTTCTTTTCATATATAACATTGTTTTATTACATTATCTTCCTTTTCATAATTATCATTGTTTTATTCAATTCTATTTCTTTTCATATTAATCATTGTTTTATTGGATTCTATTTCTTTTCATATTTATTAATTCTTTATAGAATTCTCTTTCTTTTCATATTTTTCATTGTTTTATTACATTCTCTTTCTTTTAATATTAATTATTGTTTTATGTAATTCAATTTCTTTTAATATTTATTAATTCTTTATAAAATTCTAATTCTTTTCATATTAATCATTGTTTTATAGAATTATCTTTCGTTTCAAATTTATCATTTCTTTATGAAATTCTAATTCTTTTCATATTAATCATTGCTTTATGACATTATCTTTCGTTTCAAATTTATCATTGCTTTATAGAATTTTCTTTCTTTTCATATTTACCAATTTTTCATGAAATTCTGTTTATTTTCATATTTATCAATATTTGAGATAATTCTTATTATTTTCAAATTTATCATTGCTTAATGAAATTTATTTTCTTTTCATATTTATTGTTGCTTTATTATATTATCTTTTTCTTCATATTTATCATTGTTTTATAAAATTCTATTTCTTATCATATTTATCAATATTTCAGATAATTCTATTTCATTTCATATTTATTATTGTTTTATGATATTCTCTCAATATTAATGAATGCCCTCTTAGTATTGCAATCAAAGCGAAATCAACGGAAATTGTCAAATTCCTAGTCGAGCATGGTGCAGATGTTAACATGAAACTTATTCTCTTTCTTTTAATATTTATCATTGTTTTATTGCATTATCTTTATTTTCATATTATTCATTGTTTTACGAAATCCTATTTCTTTTCATATTTATTAATTCTTTATAGAATTCTATTTCTTATCATATTTTTCATTGTTTTATCACATTCTCTTTCTTTTCATTTTTATCGTTGCTTTATAGATTGAGTCGATACGAAAAGCAGACTTTTTTTTCGTACCCCCTCTCAATTTTTTTTCTAGTTTTCGTACTTTTTTACAGAGCATAGTATTTGATGTCCAATGTTTGCCTATGATCAGAACTTGTCTTTCCCCTGTTCATATTTCAATTTCTGGTCTAGACATATATCACATCAAATATCATATTTGATTATTTACAATTGTTTAAAAGATTTTACTAGCCCAAGCATAATGTTTTGTGCAAAGTACAATTTCAATGTGTTAATCTATAAAACTTGATTTTTATTGCATATGCAATTAGGCATCTTTTTTAAAATAGAGTTTTGAAGATAAGCATATATGATAATGATATGTACTTGTTATTGTAAATGCATTTATTGTTATAAATTTACTCAATTATCATTGATGATGAAATAAATATTTTATTATATAAAAAAGAGTGTTTATTCATTATAAAAGGGTTCCGTTAAGCAAATATTTGATTTGTAACGGGTAAGCCCTAAATTTGCATGTTTGAATTATTGAGATCAAATATTTGCATGCAATCAATAAATTTGCTGCAAAATTATAATCTCAAGCATGTACTATTTTGAAACAATAAAGCATCAGAGAGCCTTTTCACTATGATCTTTCAGAAAATGAAAGAACATAGAAAAACTGCCCTTTATAGAGATGCCCTGACCTCAACAAGGGTCAGAGCCTGTATCTGTATGTCTTTCAGGGCCGAGATAAGAGGATATCGTCAATGATGTTGGTGATCTCCCTCAAACTCGGCCCTGAGGATTAGTATTGCAGGCTCTGACACATGTTGAGGTCAGAAATTCGGGGTTGCTGTTTCCCAGGGTCGGATTCCTCTCCTGTCGCCCTAGATCAGGACGGCATTTGGGAAATCCGGCCCTGAGGACTGTAAGCGAGGCCCTGAACCTTTGCTGAGGCCAGAACTTAGTATTTGTTGCTTCTCAGAGCCGAGTTCCGCTGAGAAGTGTCCGTAATTGGGACAATCTCAGGGAACTCGGCTCTGAGGATTTTAAGCGAAGCCCTGGTCTCTGCTGAGGCCAGGACCTGTATTTTGAAGTCCTTCAGGACCGATATGAGAGGAGATCGCCAATAATGTGGACGATCTCCTCAAAATCGGCCCTGAGGATTGATCTTGCAGGCTCTGGCCTTTACTGTGGCCAGAGCTTCGTTTGGTAAGTATCCCATGGCCAGATTCCTCACCTGCCGCCCGGGGTCAGAGCGGCATTTGGGAAAGCCGGCCCTGGGGACTGTAAGCGAAGCTCTGGCCTTTTCTGAGGCCAGAATCTGTGTATTTCTTTCTTTCAGGGCAGAATTTGAGGGAGATCGTCAATGATGTTGACGATCTCCCTCAAATTCTGCCCTGATGATTGTATTTGCAGGATCTGGCCTCAGAAAAGGCCAGAGCTTCGTATGGGCGCTCTCTTGGGACTGGATTCCTCTCCGGCCTCCCCGAATCAGGGCGGTCTTTGAGGGAACCAGCCCAAGGATTGTTTGCGAAGCTCTGGCATTTCCTGAGACCAGAGCTTGTGAATTTCATTCAGAGCCAAGTTCCTCTCGGATCGAACCTAATGAGGACGACCGTCGAGGAACTTGGCTCTGAGGAGATCAATTGTGAGCTCTGGCCTCGATGAAGGCCAGAGTTTTCAAGGGAATGTTTTGATGGGATGAGTCTATTATCAGTAAGCTCGTCCCATCAAAACATTCATTTAAAAATTGAATGAATAATTATCGTATGATTCAAAAATTAAAAATTTAAAGATGAATAAAATTATAATACATATGAAAAGAATTAAATTACATTGAAATTGAATAAAAATTCCAAAAAAAATTCAAAAAACTGAAAATAAAAAGAAAATATAAAATTTGATAAGAAAAAACGATTTGAGTTAAAAAACGTTTCTACAAAACATGAATATTTATGATTTAGATTAAATTGTGAATAAAATTTACTAGTTTAAAGAAGAATGAGAAAATTAAATTATATTGTAAAGAAGATACTTTAGAAAGGAGTTTACGATTGTAATATTATATGGTATAACATTGTACTCGTAACCTCCTTTCGATAATCTAATTTCTAATGCAACATTGAGATATGAAAAAAATTAGCTTTCTTCGAAAGGGTTTATAATTGCAATATAATATGACAGTATATTGCAAATGTAAACTCCTTTCGGGAATCAAATGTCTAATGTCACATTGCGGAACAAAAGTGAGAGATTCTCCCGATCTGAGTACGTACTTGCAGGATGCCATTGCAAGACCCTGCAAATATGTACTCAGATCGGAAACTTTGTTCCCAATGTCACATTGCGGAACAAAAGTGAGAGATTCTCCCGATCTGAGTACGTACTTGCAGGATGCCATTGCAAGACCCTGCAAATATGTACTCAGATCGGAAACTTTGTTCCCAATGTCACATTGCGGAACAAAAGTGAGAGATTCTCCCGATCTGAGTACGTACTTGCAGGATGCCATTGCAAGACCCTGCAAATATGTACTCAGATCGGAAACTTTGTTCCCAATGTCACATTGCGGAACAAAAGTGAGAGATTCTCCCGATCTGAGTACGTACTTGCAGGATGCCATTGCAAGACCCTGCAAATATGTACTCAGATCGGAAACTTTGTTCCCAATGTCACATTGCGGAACAAAAGTGAGAGATTCTCCCGATCTGAGTACGTACTTGCAGGATGCCATTGCAAGACCCTGCAAATATGTACTCAGATCGGAAACTTTGTTCCCAATGTCACATTGCGGAACAAAAGTGAGAGATTCTCCCGATCTGAGTACGTACTTGCAGGATGCCATTGCAAGACCCTGCAAATATGTACTCAGATCGGAAACTTTGTTCCCAATGTCACATTGCGGAACAAAAGTGAGAGATTCTCCCGATCTGAGTACGTACTTGCAGGATGCCATTGCAAGACCCTGCAAATATGTACTCAGATCGGAAACTTTGTTCCCAATGTCACATTGCGGAACAAAAGTGAGAGATTCTCCCGATCTGAGTACGTACTTGCAGGATGCCATTGCAAGACCCTGCAAATATGTACTCAGATCGGAAACTTTGTTCCCAATGTCACATTGCGGAACAAAAGTGAGAGATTCTCCCGATCTGAGTACGTACTTGCAGGATGCCATTGCAAGACCCTGCAAATATGTACTCAGATCGGAAACTTTGTTCCCAATGTCACATTGCGGAACAAAAGTGAGAGATTCTCCCGATCTGAGTACGTACTTGCAGGATGCCATTGCAAGACCCTGCAAATATGTACTCAGATCGGAAACTTTGTTCCCAATGTCACATTGCGGAACAAAAGTGAGAGATTCTCCCGATCTGAGTACGTACTTGCAGGATGCCATTGCAAGACCCTGCAAATATGTACTCAGATCGGAAACTTTGTTCCCAATGTCACATTGCGGAACAAAAGTGAGAGATTCTCCCGATCTGAGTACGTACTTGCAGGATGCCATTGCAAGACCCTGCAAATATGTACTCAGATCGGAAACTTTGTTCCCAATGTCACATTGCGGAACAAAAGTGAGAGATTCTCCCGATCTGAGTACGTACTTGCAGGATGCCATTGCAAGACCCTGCAAATATGTACTCAGATCGGAAACTTTGTTCCCAATGTCACATTGCGGAACAAAAGTGAGAGATTCTCCCGATCTGAGTACGTACTTGCAGGATGCCATTGCAAGACCCTGCAAATATGTACTCAGATCGGAAACTTTGTTCCCAATGTCACATTGCGGAACAAAAGTGAGAGATTCTCCCGATCTGAGTACGTACTTGCAGGATGCCATTGCAAGACCCTGCAAATATGTACTCAGATCGGAAACTTTGTTCCCAATGTCACATTGCGGAACAAAAGTGAGAGATTCTCCCGATCTGAGTACGTACTTGCAGGATGCCATTGCAAGACCCTGCAAATATGTACTCAGATCGGAAACTTTGTTCCCAATGTCACATTGCGGAACAAAAGTGAGAGATTCTCCCGATCTGAGTACGTACTTGCAGGATGCCATTGCAAGACCCTGCAAATATGTACTCAGATCGGAAACTTTGTTCCCAATGTCACATTGCGGAACAAAAGTGAGAGATTCTCCCGATCTGAGTACGTACCTGCAGAAACATAGAGATATAGTATGCAGCAAATGCTTTTATCAACTTATTTACACACATTTACTTATATTCAAACTTCAATCTTGATTATATTTCATATTTCTGAGCAAACATAGAGCTTCCACTCATTAATATAAAGACCACCAATTGTAACCATATAAAAACACAATTTTTTAAAAGTTATTATTATTCAACTTCCTGTGATACGGTATTTTGATTAGATTTCGTAAATTTTTGTAAAACAAGCATAGCTCTATCATGAGCAATCTTACAATAGTAAATATATTGCTTCCATGCTAAATTCAATTGAGATTATCTTGACATTAAACTTAGAATCCTCTCAAATTCAAGGAGATAATCACAATACAGGTATATTTTAATGCTGCAGTATAGCGAAAGCTCTATGATTATTATAAACTAATGATACCATATGAGTACGAAAACTGGAAAAAAATTGAGAGGGTGTACGAAAAAAAGTCTGCTTTTCATATAGTTTCTTATAGATTCCTCTTACTTTTAATATATTTCATTGTTTTATAGAATTCTATTTCTTTTCATATTTATCAATATTTCAGATAATTCTATTTCATTTCATATTTATTATTGTTTAATGAAATTCTCTCAATATTAATGAATGCCCTCTTAGTATTGCAATCAAAGCGAAATCAACGGAAATTGTCAAATTCCTAGTCGAGCATGGTGCAGATGTTAACATGAAACTTATTCTCTTTCTTTTCATATTTATCGTTGTTTTATGAAATTCTCTTTCTTTTCATATTTATCGTTGTTTTATTGCATTATCTTTATTTTCATATTTATCATTGTTTTATTACATGATCTTTATTTTCATATTTATAAATGTTTTACGAAATCCTCCTTCTTTTCATATTTACTGTTGCTTTATTATATTATCTTTTACTTCATATTTATCATTGTTTTATAGAATTCTATTTCTTATCATATTTATCATTCTTTTATAGAATTCTTATTATTTTCATATCTTTCATTGATTAATAAAATTCTCTTAATATTAATGAATACCCTCTTAGTATTGCAATCAAAGCGAAATCAACGGAAATTGTCAAATTCCTAGTTGAGCATGGTGCACAATAATAATTTTCTAGTTTTGCTATTCAATATTGAAACAAATAACACCAAAGATGGGAATAAATAACTTATTATGTCAATTCTAATTTCATTCATTGCCAAGTGCAAGTGTAATCAACTTAATTCAACAATACAACCAATTCCACACCACCAAAAAAATCAGATTATTGTTCATATTTTCGTTTTTCATGTTTCATTTTTGAATTGCAAATCAGATCTCAAAATTGTACATACAGATTAGCATAACCTTCTAACCACCAAATAACCATTAGTAGATAAATATATATACCAAGTAAGAGACAACATTGAATTGCCAATTTTTTTTAAAATATTGTCAAAAGATTGATTTTAACAAAAACATTTATTATATTATATAATGAAGCATATTTTGTGCAAATGAATTCATAATTCCATTTTTTCCTTTAATGCAATCTAATTCTCTTATTACATAGAACCTATTTTCAAAACCATATCTAGATGATAGTTTCTGAAGTGATAAATATATTCTCTGTTTGTGTTCACTACGTCTATCAGGACACTCTATTTTTACACGATCATAGTTCCTCAAGGGTGTCTAAAAATTTTTAAGGTTAAGAGTTTCAATGCCTTGCTAACTTTATTGTTACCCATCAAAATATAATGCCAATCTCTTCCATCCCACGTATTTCTAAAATATGCATGCAAAGCAATATCTTTCAAGATAAAATATGCAGAATTTTTTTTTCTTGAGGATCACTATTGAAATTTTTTACCATTTAAAGGGTAAATTTTCATTGATTATTCAATTCAGATGTCTGTAGCTTCCGCAATAACTCTCTTTGAGAAAGCCGTAACACAAGACGAAAGCTCGCAATACGAATTTGCCTGCAATGTCGAAAAAATCCTCACTAGTTTTCCACCAAAATTCATTGCCGAAGAATTTTATCCATTTATGGCAACATGGATACCGCGAAATAACGCTCGCATAGTCAAAACACTCGCAGAAAAAGTCGATAAGATGGCTGCAATTAGTGAAGCTATAGTTAGCTTAGCACCAGTTGTAGAATCTCTTCTTGCAGCAGAAAACGTCGCTATAGCCAAAATTATCCTTCAAAAAATTCGTACAGTTAAATTAGGTGGTGATGTAATGGGCTTCTTCAAGAGATTAGCTTCTTCTCCGCTTGATTTTGTTCGTGCATTTGTAGCCAAAATTATCATGTTACTCAAGTCAAACGATGACGTCAAAAACCTCAGTGCCGCATTAATATGCGACCCTGCTTTCCAAGTTCGTTTCTCAATGTGTTCGGTTATTCCAAAGCTCCAACCAGACCTTGCAAAGGATGTCGCCTCTTACGCTTGCTCCGACTCAAACTCAAGAGTTAAGTCTTTTCTTCCTGTTATCTGCTCGAAATTACCGTTTTTCTTTAATGATATTGTTACTCCACTCCTATTAGATCATGACTGGGCTGTCCGTGCTTCCCTCGCTCGTGAGCTTGCAAATTCTACAGATGACACTAAGAGTTTGACGTATTGCATCCAGCTCATCAAAGATAGCGTCTGGCAAGTCGTTCTCTGCGCTCTTACATCACTTACAACAATTCTCAATCGCAATAAAAGCGCTTCTTACGATTTCCTGCCTCAAGTTTTAGACGTTATCCTTAATAACATCACCTATCCACAAACATCACTTAAGAATGCAGCAATCGATGCATTCCTTTCAATATACACTCGTTGCACCCTCGACCAGAAGAAAGTCAACGCATTTGTTGAATGTGTCATCATCAAACAACCTCCAAACACTCGTTTACACTTCCTTGAAGCCCTCGCAACTACAAAGCACGAATCTATCTTCGCGCTCATCTCATTCCAGCTTTTCGGAGTCATTACAAACCTTATGGAGTCAGATCAGTGGCGTGTTCGCCTCGGAGTGGTCCAACTGCTCTCAGCACTCGCCGCTGTCAGTAAGAATGGAAACCTCAGCAAGCAGTTCTCGCAACTCTGCATACAATGCTTAGATGACGAAGCAACACCTGTCAGAGTCGCTGCTTCTGAGCAGCTCGTCCAGTTCTTCCTCGCGGAGAAGGGATCTGCTCTACTTCCTGAGAGTTTCGCCGCTCTAAAAGCTAGCAACTCCTTCAGAAAGAGACAATCCGCTCTTTACATCCTTTCCAATATCGGAAAGACAGTCAAGACGCCAGAACAGAAGAATCAGATCCTTCAGGAATTAAAGGCCTTCGAAGGCGACGCTTGTGAAAATGTTGTTAACCTTGCACGTGAATTTATTGCTAATTTATAAAATTTTGATTGATTTTAGAAAAATTTTAACTATTATTTACATATTATAAGGATCTCATTTGGAGAAATTGTTGCATGCTAAGATCAGTCATAATGTAAACCTCTCAATTTTATTGTCGTGGGAAGTATCTCAATTCCTTCAAAAAAATTGAAAAACTATTTAATTTTAAAAATATAATACTTTTAATTAGTTAATTAATTGGAGATATTTTTTTAAAAATCACTTTTGATAATATTTTTGAGAACTTTAATTAAAAAAATATATTCAAAAATATCCAGGATATCAAGAGGGAATTGTTCCTTATGAGGTATATAGTTATGATGTATACCTCATAAGGAACAATTCCCTCCTTAAAACGAGAAAACTTGTTCGAAATTGTTTATCATTTCGAACAAGTTTTCTCGTTTTTAATAAGAAACTAAAGGCTATGAGGCGCTGATTATATATTAGTGCCTCACAGCCTTTAGTTTCTAATAGATAGCTGGGAAACTTTCTCCAAATGATAAGTTATTCAGAGAAAGTTTCCCAGCTATCAAGAGGGAATTGTTCCTTATGAGGTATATAGTTATGATGTATACCTCATAAGGAACAATTCCCTCCTTAAAATCGTAGACATTTTTATACTTATTAATCAACCATTCAAAATTATATTCCTCTCAAAAGTTATTTTATTAAAAATTTAGAATTTTAATAAATATAGAGTTTGAATTTCATACAATACCTATATATTTTCAATAATGGAATTTGAAAAACATTCTCAAAAGTTCTCAGAAAACCTTTTTTCATTAATTTTAAGAAATCTGAGTATTAAATTAAGTGATAAATTCGTTTGACACTACTTTAATTTTTAAATTCAAAAAATTATATGTGCTTCTTAAAATGACTCAAAAAAATTTTATTATAAAATAATATATAATATTAAAAATCCCACAACATTTTTTACTTTACATAATCGTACTTCCTCGACGATTAATTTCCACTCAATTTCTATCGTTGACCGAACTTAGCATGCAACAAAATAACAGCTGGAATCTCCAATTTTGTAAATTTTTAGGAGATGCTCAGACCAAACCGTTTGTATCGTATAGTATGTAGAAACTTTACATATTGTAAACTACAAATTGGCAAAGTTACACTTTTTTTGAAAGTATTGATTAGATTAGATTCCGTCATATTTAAAGCAACCGTTATTAAAAAAAAGGTAGTGGGGCTTCCAGGCGCGTTGCGCCCTCTAGCCCATAAGAAATTTTTCCCAAGACCCAAGAGGAGGACCGAACCCCAGCCGACCAGCCGTTGACTTTTTTGTAGAGCACTCAAAATAGTATAACTTTGTCCGGACAAGTAAGGGTCTATCATCGCTACAGGAAAAGTTACGGGCGTTCCAAGGAAGTATACTTTGAGAAGCCTTTTCCCCCTTATAGAATGAGATAGGACGGTTATTTTACAAAACTGACAACACTTTGACCGAGTAGTTTTTTGTGCTGAACAAAAAGTGTCATATAAACATCTGTCAAAAACCGCTTTTTAACTTCACTTAAAATGCCACGTAAGCTACGTAAGAATATACGTAAGAGGAAGGGAGCATTGAAACATCCAATAGTAAAACTGACACCACAACAACAGTTGCAACAACAAATGATGAATGACCCCACTATGTTGCAACAAATGTCAAGCAACCCTATGCTTTTAAACCGAGTTATTGGTGCACAGAGTGGAGGTTTAAGAGCGGCACTTTTAGCGAAAATGGCAGGCTATGGTGGAGCTGCAGACGGAACAGCTTATAACCCTCAAAGTCAAATGAATTTGAGTTCACTCAAAAATCAAATAACAGATGTCAAAAAGTCAAACATAGACATACAGAAACAAATAAGTGAAAACGAAAAGAAACTAGAATATGACAGACAGACAAAGAAACTCAATGAGTTAAACGTAGAGAAAAAGAAGAGAAGAACAACTGAAAGAACTAAGTAACAGAGGAATATGCGAAAAAAGTGTCAGAAAAAGCAGCAGAAGTAGCAAAAATGGAACAAGATGTTATAAATTTGAAAAAACCATACTACTCAATATAAAGTACTGAAAGATGAAGAGATAAAACAAAAAGCCCTGAAGACATATATGGATAGCGATGAGTATAAAAAAGAAGTTGAAGCAAATGTAAAGGCAGAAAAACTTTTACAGTTGCAAAACCAAACCGTACAGTATGAAAACTTAGCACAAGAAAGTAAAAATAACGACGCAGCCATGCAAAAGGCAATGAAAAGCGCAGAATATATAAAAGCTAATAATGACTGGTTAGATGCCCAAGCCAACGCTAAAGCAGCCCAACTTATAGGGTCAATAAGGACAAAAATACAAGCGGATGAAGACAGTTCAAATGAAGCTTTAATGAATGCTGACTTTAAGAATGCCTTCGAAGCTCTTCATAGTAAGGTGAAACTAGTGAACGACTTCTCATCTGGAAAGAAACTGAAGTCTGAAGGTTTCGACAAAGAGTTAAGAGAAGTAGCACAAAATATGACGAAAATAACAGATGCAGCAACGAGACAGGCAGTTCAAAGTGCCTATGACGCCGTTAGAGCAACTGTTGTGGAAAGTCAAGAAAAAGAGTTACAACAGACCAAAACAGACCTAGTAAATGCTTTCTTAAGAACGAAAAGTCAGGTAGGACATTATGCTGCAGATGGAACATATGTGCCAGCTGGTGGAACTTATATACCACCAAACCCTCCAAGAGAAGCACCTGCACCAGGACTACCTAAAACATTTACATCGTCACATGGACACAGACACAGGCATGCACCAAAACCAACACAACAACCAACAGTTCAAAATCCAGCACCACAACAACAACCAAAACCAACAGTTCAAAATCCAGCACAGCAACCAACAGTTCAAAACCCTGCACAGCAACCAACAGTTCAAAATCCAGCACCACAACAACAACCAACACAGCAACCACAACCAACACAGCAACCAACAGTTCAAAACCCTGCACAACAACCAACAGTTCAAAACCCTGCACCTGCACCACAACCAGAGCAAGGACATAAAAGAAGTAGAGAAAAAGGAAACCAAGAATTCTTAAAAATGCTTAAGGAAGATTATGGTTACCCAGATACTCTTGACTTTAGTGACAGATATAAAGAAGCTATTAGAAAGTTCAAGGAAGGAAATACTGACCCGAACCTATTTAGCTTTATGGTTCAGCATCAAATGGGATATAATCTCAAACCTGGAAAATACAAGCTCGTTAAGGGATATGATTTAATAGCATATCATCCAAATGACATGAATGAATTTACTCCGAGATATTTGGTGTCAGAGCTAAATGATAATTCAACTCTCTTCATGAAACGCGTAAAAAATAGAGACGGAACGAAAGAAGAAAGGTTTATGAGTCCGGATGACTTAGATAGGGAACTTGTTAAAAACGGTCTCGGAATATATGAAATGCCAGCAGATGAGGTACAAGAAACTCAACAGGAAGAAGTTCAGATACAACCAGACATGGAAGAAATAGTTCAGCAACAACAGCTAGAAGAGCCTGAAGGAAACGAACAAATCCCTCCTTTGGAAACTAACTTCACAGAACTAGATGAAGATTTGGAACAGCCGAAAAATCTTGACCCTCAACAAGAGTATGAGGTGAATATGGAATCTTTCCAAGAGTCTAAGAAAAATTCGGCTGACATAGTAGAAGAATATCGAAAAATGTTCGCCGACATACAAAAGACTCCAACATCAGATGAAAATATTCAGCATAGAATGGAAGTACTGAAAGAAAATGTACGCAAATACAATAATCCTTTTTACTTACGACCATATAACGTTCAATCTTTGGCTGAACTCGGTGAAAATAAAAGGTTAAATTTCAACAAAACATATAGAAATGAAACATTGTTTAAAGTTCATTCAGAACCTAACCAATATGGAAACAAACCTACTTTTGTTTCTGCAGACTATGGAACTACAATGAGATGGGGTCATAAAGCTAATCCGGATAGGTGGTTCATAAACTTACAACCTCAATTCCAAGAAGTTGTAGACGCAATGGAAGTGAATGGTGAACCAGATATAGCTGGTATTTTCAGCGCGGCTTTAATGCCATTGAAAGATATGAAAGATGCAGATATTTTGGACCAGTATGAAATGAACATGGCTGATGGAAATATAACACCTGACGTTCTAGAACATTTATCTCAAAGAACTACACAGAACCATAGAGATGGTATATTTGGTGAAGAGTTTAGAAAGAAAGTTAGGGAGAGAGAAGAAGAGAACCTATTGTACATGACCTTGCAAACGAAAGTTTGCAAAATGTCATAAAAACTTACTTTGCAGACAATGAACCGAGAAGGGATGAATATTTAAGAAAACTCAAATGGACAGTACCAAATGAAATGTTAGTATTGAAAAACATGTTCCTTGACAAAATAAAACCAACTACAGAAATAAATGACGCAAGACTGAAACATTGGGTAAAAGCTTTTCCCATTCACAAAAGATATTATTGGTAACATGGAAAGAAAACCAGAATGGCTACAAAAACATATATTTGGAAACGAGCTTATTCCATATGGACAAGCTCTGTTTGAAGAGCTTGAACCGGAAACTCAGGAAAGAGTCATGCAAACAATTGCGCGAAGACTCAAATACAAACTATGACAAAATCTTTCTAGGATATAGGTTACCTGAGATGGGCGACCAGAGCCCAAAGGCAAAAAGGACATGGGAAATTTACAACATACTAGGTGAACATGAGGCAAAGATGCAACAACTTGAAGCAGAGGGCAAGTTACCAAAAGCGACACCAAAGAAGAAGAGAAGAGTAGAACAAAGTGAAAGTAGTGAAGAAGTAACTTCATCTAGTGAAAGTAGTGGCAATGAAGGAAAAAGAAGAGTTAAAAACTCAGTCAGGAAGAAAGTAAAGCTTGGTCCGAGTGGGTTCTATTATGATATATAAATCCAACTATTCTATATTTTTACCCATATGAAATGTACGCCGCTCAGAATATAACGCCAACAGTTTTGGATGCCATGAACGGAAATGTTTCCGAATGGTATAACGAATGCGACAATGCCATTAGAAGGTCAGAAATAGTTCCTGGAACTTACGAATATACAACTGCTTTCTTATGGAAACGTAGGTGAGTTTGGAGAAGGTTCTTCAACAACAGTAGATATTGCTTGCGACAGGTTTCATATTATTTCTATTGACAACTCATTCTTATACGTGGAACAAGACATTGAAATAAAACCTTCTGCCAAGTTGTCTGACAAGAAAGGTTGCAATGGAATTTTTTATGTCGGATACCAATATGCTCCAGAAGTTTTCATGGGATTAAGATATATTCTAACTCTGACTTAGTTCAAACAGTAACATGGGCAAACTATGAATGGTTCGCTTTGAGAAATTCAGTACAACCACAAGCTAGAGAACAAACAGACCAGTATGCAACTATTGAGAAAATAAGAAGACTTGACCCTAACGTTCCAGGAGTTTATGTTAACCTTTCTGGACAAACTGCAGCAGCAGTAACCAAAGTAAAACTGAAACTTAGAGTTCCTTTGTCATCTTTCTCATCTTCAGGTTTTAAGATACTTGCCAAACTGGGCAGGAAAAATTTCTATTGAACTTACTCCAAGCAAAAATAACTTAGTCATTGCACCAACACAAGACCCATTCACTCTTACAGACGTAAAGGGAACAAATAAAACGTCATTCGCCGAATTTTGCAAAGACAAAGTTGACTTAGACTTTGGTTTCTCAAACCTCAACACTGAAGTAAACTATTATTTCAATGCTGCTGGAGATGCTTGGGACCCAGTTAAGTTCACATGCGAACAGTTTGAATAGCACTTTTCACGGAAGATGCTCTTTTGAAGATTCGTTCGATGAAACCTGCTGGGGCTCCTCAGATTGGCATAACGACAGCTTCCATCGAGCAGATTTTGGCAGCAGGTCAGTAAGTTGTTCTTGAACTGACTTCTCTCCGTCAAATATTGACAGTACACCAGTTTTGACATAATATTGTATTATAAACTTTCCTTTAGTAATATCGGTCAGTTTTGAAGTTATATTTTTGTCTGCTTCAAGAACTTTCACCATTTCAGTTATACCAACTTTCTTTGCTTTATGAAAATATTTAGGTTCAGCAAAGACTGCTATTCTATAACATTTTCCATTGTTTGTGTAAGAACTATTCTGTCAATGTATTTGTATTGTTTGTGAGTATAAACTTTGTTCTGCTTCAATTCAATAAGATATCCGAATACGTCCATCTTTTTATTCTAAGTAAAATGTCATTTCCGAAAAATAGAAGCGTAAGTGTTTCAAAAGGTTTAATGGCGGTGGCAGATGTGAAGTTAAATTCACCAACTCAAACAAACAGTCAAAGTGTTGTTGTCAATGTCAAAGACAGAGATGTTGAAGTGGGGAAACCATACGAAGACGAAAATGGTATAACAATTGTTCCTGTAAAAGAACCAACATATCCTGAAGTTAACAGAGACTTAAGTTCTGTTGCAGATATTCGAAACGACTACCAAACAACTGAAAGACAAACTTCAAACTCAGGAGAAGATTTGTCAAGCTTTAAGTATAATGTTAAACTTGGTCGAACACAACCCTGTAAAAGTGAACTCATATGTCATTGCACCTCATGAAGTTTTGAAAGAACTATTGAAAACTTTTGACAGAGGCAGACGATATAAACATCAAAGAAATAGAACCCGACATTGGTTGCTGTGGTGTTTCATATAATGCCATTGACAAGATATACGTTATGAAAGGAGGTGAAACGTTGAACTTAAAATATAGTTTCCCAGACGTTATAAAAATATTTGACGACCACAACATTTCATTAAAGTTTATTTGCTAAGTAAATGGCAGAAGACATAATGGTTTATACTATTACGACTAAAAACCCTGAGTCATATAATTCTATAACAACAAACTTACAAAGTCCTCAAGGACGATATTGTAAACTAACCTTAAACACAATGACGACTAAAGCTGTTTTGCTCTTTTGACACCAGAAGACTTTATTGTTGTGAATGGTAAAAAATACTCCTTTGAAGATACTTACTCAGATATACCACCAACAGGTTTTGTTGACTTATTTAATACTTTAAGTACGGGTGTAACATGTGCTGCAACTAGAGCAGGTTTCATAATGTTTGGATGTCCGACTGAGTTTACTATAAACGATATGAGCTATAATACAAAACTTATTTCTGGTTTTTACTACCAACAGTTTCCTATAACAGGAAAAGGTGTCATACAAGGAATGTCTATTCCATTGACATTAAGCACACCAATCTTATATATGTTTCAAACTTAGGTTCAAAGTTGTATTCGAATGTCGACAGAAACTATTATGACCAAAGATACTTATGCGTAAAAACAATACTTTCTCTGCTGGTTTGCCTATTGTTCATTCGAATGCAGAATTTTCAACTTAGTGAACTCAAACACTTTGGCAAGTATAACGTTAACATTAGTTGACGCAAACTTTGTTCCTGTAAAACTTTTATGTCCTATGTATTTGTCAATGACAGCAGAAAGTTTCGAATTGGAAGATGCAACTGGTGAAAGTATTGTATTACAAGAACAACTTCACAACAAATAGCTCAAGAACAACAAATGCAACAAATGGAACAACAAAGTCAAGAATAAAAAAATATTTATTTTTTATTTTTATAAAAATGTACAGAATAGATGTTTCAGATTTTTATGACTTCCAAGCATTCAGAATATATGTTCATTTAGAGACTATAACAAAGCAGTCGAGAATTTGAAACGTTTAGTCATTTATGTTGACTCTGCCCCAGAATTTATGTCATGAAAGAATGGGATGTTGTCTTAAAAAACCAAGAGCAACAATAGTGTCTGAACAAGAATGTAGACAGAAACTTAAGAAAATAAAGTTGTACAAGTTGGAATGAAGATGTTAGATGCTTGAGATATCTTATTGTCAAAGTTAGAAGATTTTTCAGTTCGAGGTATAAAGTTCTATACACCTTCTCCAAACTTCTATTCTATCTTCACTGGATATAAATATGAACAAGTAGAATGGAAAGAAATATTATAGAAGCTTGGTTAGACCATGTCAAAGAAAATTATATGCAATGGAAACGAAAAGGTTTATGAGTATATCTTATGTTGGTTTTGCAAACATCTTACAACATCCAAGTGCTAAGAATGAAACTGCTCTCATTATAAATTGGAAAACAAGGAACAGGAAGAACACATTCTTACAGATATCTTGTGCAAACTGTTAAAGGGCTATTCGAACCCGAATATGACAAACTTAGAAAAACATCTGTGGCAAGTTTAACTCCTCAAACAGAGAATATGAAACTTATAGTTTGCAATGAACTTCAAAGTATAATACACAAAAAGTTTTAAACTCAGATGCTTTGAAGAGTCTTATAACAGACAAATTGGAGTTGTTTGAAAGAAAGTATAAAGACCAAAGAGTTTGTGAAAATGTTGCAAACTTCATTATGGTTTAAAACAATGCTGTTCCGATGAAGTTAGAAAGTTCTGACAGAAGAATGTAGTTGTCAGACGTCAGATTCTCATATGCAAGAACAGAATATTTTGACGACTTAGCAGAAACTTTGACATCTGACTTTTACACCACTTGTTCTCATATTTCATGACATTAGATATTTCTAAGTTCAATCCAAGACAAATTCCACATACCGAAGAAGACAAACATTGTTAGAAGCAAACAAGAGTGTATATGAACTGTTCATAGATGAACACTGACTTTGTGTCTTAGATGAAGGTCTTATTGATGAATATAAACAAATTGTCAAGAATATGTTATATGGCAGCTTCTAAACGTACATTCTTGGCAAAGTTCAAAAGTCTTTTAGATGTTCAGAATGGTGTATATACAAAGAAAATTTTTCTGAGTAAATTTAAAAAAATATTTTTTTATCCGATAGAAAAAATGGCAAAATTCATCTCGGTAACAAGTACATGTCAGGACTTAAAGAAGAACTAGACCCATTCACATATTTGAATGTTACTTCTACCATTTTGAAAAGTCTTCATTCAGCAAAGTTTGGAACATCGAACAGTTAAAGTTTGCTAATTGTGACTAAAAATGGTGCGAAATTTGAAGACTTAGACATAGAAGGTTGTTAACAGTCAAAGAAAGTTTTGACAGAAAGTTCTCAAACCTTAAAGAAGGCAAAGCATACAAAACTTGTTATACCTTATGAACCAAAGAAAACAGACGACTATGAATATTATGAGTCTAAAGTTGTAGAAGTTCAAGGTAAATGGGTAAAAAGATTTTAGAGTCTAAGCCAGTGTTTACTCCTAAAGAGGAAGAGAACATTGACATTGACCCAGAAATGTTCTAAAATAAAATTTTATTTTTACATGTCAAATTTCTTTTTCTTCTGACTTGCTTCAGGTTCTTTCTTCTCTTCTTCTACTTTCTTTTCTTTCTTTTCTCTTTTCTTCTTCTGGTGGATTATGTCAAATTTGCGCAACTATATTTATGTAAAAGTTCTTTGTCCTTTAATAGCTCATCTATTCTGTTTTCTATTTCATCTTCAAGAACAGCGCATGTGTCTTCTTTGCATTCTAAGAAACTTTGTTTGACTTCATCTTTCCAATCGGCGTCATCTCTGTCAACAAGTCTGTCATTGACAATTTTTAAGACTGCTCTTTGTAATGTTTTATGTTCTTGTCATATTCCCAGAAAACAGAACTTTAGAACAAATTCACCTTCTTGTTTACACTATGTAAGATTTTATGGTGGGACAGATGTTTTGCTGTCGAAAAGCTTGTCTCGAATATAGATGAGCGAAATCGCTAGACATTTTTCTTAAAGATAAAAATTTTAATTTTTCTAAAAATATGTTAGAAAAAAAGGTTGCTGACATTGACAAAAAATTTGAGAATGTTTTAAACAAGAACAAGAGGAAGTTAGAAAATGCTCAGATAAAGCCTATACCATACAAGTTTCTTATTTGCTCAGAATGGTGATAAAGGTCTAATTGCACCACCTGGGTCTGGTAAGACTTTCACTTATCTTAAAATGGCGCTCACAACAACAAGAACTAGATGAGAAGAACCCATTCTTGAGTTAGTTGTTATTTGTTCGCACTTCTGGTTAATTTGACCCAAACCGTCAATCGTTCAAAGATATTATAAAGAAGTCTAAGTTTAGTATGTATAAAGGATACTGAGTTGTTAGATTGGATAAAGAAGTACCAAAGAAGAGTTTTGAAGTACAATGCTATAAATAGTATATAAATTCTAAGTTTTAAAGACCCAAATGAGGAAATGCAGAGAATATTAGGAGAAGAAACACTTCAGAAACAAACAGAAAGAGATAGAATACATTTCGAAGAAATTGCAATCTTACGATTGGAAGACTTACCCTCATAGATGTCTTCTTATCTTAGATGATTTCCTCTCATCCTTTGTTAAAGAAATAGAGAACAAGACATGTGTCGAATTCTTAAGAAGCTCAGACACTTACATCTCAGTTCATTTGTGTACAGACAGCAAAGAGTTTAAGTAAGGATGTTAAAAGAATACTTAACTGACATATACTTTTCCCCGGATTGTCGAAGACGATTTCATGGAACTTTATGAAAGAGTCCATGGCAGGTAAGTTTGACAGACATGAACTATGGGAGAAGTACAAAGTCATACAAGACCCTCATACTTCTTTCAGAATTCATATCTACGCAAACAAAGTTCAAATTGTAATAAAGTCAAGCTTGAAAAAATAAATGGTCATCTACCCTACTTGTTTTGAAGTTGTCAAAATACTCTGTTATTTTTTTCTTTCAGTTACGATAAGTCTTCGTTGAAGGTAAAAATTGTACAACCTTTCATATCATAGTGTGTTTGAGGTAACGTATCTTGAACTATTTGTTTCACATTCTTCATTTGGGGTCATGAAATCGGTAAGTTTCCGCGATAGAACCAATTTCTGTCAGATTTGTAAATCTTAGCAAGGTTCGTAAAAGCTTTGTTGTTTTCTTCTGACTAAATGCAACATAACCTTATCTCTGTCTTCTCATTTCCATCTTTGTATAAATCATATACTTATAGTTCTTTTCCTTTCTTTGTACCGAACGTGGTATTCTTTCTGAATGCTTTTGTCTTTTGCTTCAAGCTTGTTTTCCATTTCTTCACGTTGTCTATGAATTTCGTCAAGAGATCTGTAAATATACAAGCAACGACGGTAAGCCCACATTTGCTTACAAGAAGTCTATGTACATAATATCCTCTCAAACCGTTTGGCAATTTTTCACGATTTTCATAGAGTTTTGGCGACTGGGGTTTTATACCTACTCGCTGTTCTTCACTGTTTTCAGAAAAAAGTATGTCTCGCTGTGCTTCGCTCAAAAGTTCTTGTGTGCTTTGGTTCCTAAACCAGTCTTTAGGAAGCTTAGTATCTGGAGCATAACATGCTGTCAAAATACTTTGCCTTTGGTACATATCGTCTTTGACTGAACGAATGAGACGGAGTTGTTTGTTAAACTGTATGTACTCGTATTCTTCATTTATAGCTTCATGGACTATAACTGTTGTTGTGTTTCTCTGTTGTTGACATATCTGTCTTTACATACAAAATAAAAAAATAAATAAAAATAAAACTAACTTTATTTTTTCTATCTTAAGGAAATTCATGATTTTTGTGCTGAATTCAATAAAAATATAATTTAGGTGAAGAGGTGAGATTTCACCTGTTTTTTCACCTCATTTCTACCCCAGTTATTTTATAAGCGTTTAACATGAATTGTACGATGTATATTTGAAATCCTAAACAGTTTCGTAGCTTCTATTTCTTCTTTTAGTACATCGAATGTTATAACAATGCTTCAAGCTTGTTTTCCATCTCTTCACGTTCTTGTCTATGAATTTCGTCAAGAAGTCTGTAAATATACCAAGCATAACGAGGTGAAGCCCACATTGCAACAGCATTTACAAGAAGTCTATGTACATAATATCCTCTCAAACCAGGAGCCAAATTCTTGCGATTTTCGTACGGAATCTCTTCTCTCGGTTTTCCGAGGGAAGCAAGCATATGAGGAAATTCATGATTTTTGGTCATTTTTCAGCAAAAATATAATTTAGGTGAAGAGGTGAGATTTCACCTCTTTTTTCACCTAATTTTTCACCCCAGTTATTTTATAAACGTTTTACATGGTAAACGTTATTTTTTAAATTTTGTGAAAACTCAACGGTTTGACACAAGCCATATGCCATTTTACTCAGAATTTTGTTGCTGAATTCAATAAAAATATATTTTAGGTGAAGAGGTGAGATCTCACCCGTTTTCTCACCTGTTTTTCACCTCAGTTATTTTATAAGCGTTTTACATGAATTGTACGATGTATATTTGAAATCCTAAACAATTTCGTAGCTTCTATTTCTTCTTTTAGTACATCGAATGTTTTAACGATACCGAAAGTTTCTTTATACTTCTTCTTGACGTCAGATAGAAGGAAATCGTCAGCAGTTGGATAGTTTTTGTTCAGAAATTCTAACATGTCCATTTTATTTTCTACCGGCTTCTCTGCTTCTTTCTTTAAATCTGCATAGTCGTTTCTCATACGTTCTATCTCTTTGACTGAGTAGTTATATTTCCTCATTGCTGCTTTACATTTAGAACATTGCGGGTTCATTTTTGCGTTATATTCTGAAACCTTACCTGCTAAAACAACCAAGGCGTCAATGGTTTTCTTTAAATCTGAAGCAGTTGGTTTTATCTGTTCATTCCATACCTTACCTCTTCTATCTTTATCTCTTATCTGCCATACACATTTTGCAGCTAATGAAACAAAGTTGTCGTATGTCTTAAACTCCCCAGATTTATATATGTCAGAGATGTTCTTATATACCATGTCGCAATCTTTGTCCATAACTTTATGGTTGCAATGAAAACCAAGGAATTCATAATTTACCTTTCGTATGAACTTCTTTATTTCTACTGAGTCAGTTGCTTTGACTTCAATTTCGTCGAATTCAGGAATAGTTAGTTTTTGCTGCTGAATTTCAGGTAGTTTAGGCAAATGGTCGATGAGGTCCTCCATTTCATAAAGATACTGTTCATTTGTTTCATCTTTCGCACTACAGTCTAAATTACTTGTTAAAAGTTCCTGCTTTATTCTTTGTATTTCTGTTTCGAAAGTATATGAAGAAGGAATGAAGCTTTTCATTTCTACTAACATAGATGTTGGATTCATGACTAACGAGTTTGGTGCTGTAGTTGTTTGAATTGTTGTTGTGCCGATTGTTGACATATCTGTTCTTACATACAAAATAAAAAAATAAATAAAAATAAAACTAACTTTATTTTTTCTATCTTAAGGAAATTCATGAAAATTCAAGAGGGTGAAAAAACAGGTGAAAAAAGAGGTGAAATCTCACCTCTTCACCTAAATTATATTTTTGCTGAATTCAGCAACAAAATGAACGAGGTCAGGATGTATGTAAATACATTTGAATTCATTCATAACACCCTTTGTAAGCTCATAAAATGCTTGTTTTGAGGTCGAGCCACTTTTGGCTCCACCGTATTCTTTCAACCAAAACTCAAGAATTTCCTGCATGAATTTTGTATAAAAAGCAACCGTCTGAATTCCGGCGGTTGCTATATTCTTCACAAAATGCCTTATAATACTCTTCCCAGGACTTATTTTCCAACAACTTTCTAAAGTCTTTCCTAAACTGACTGACTGAATGACGGCACAAAGTGGCTTAACGAAAACATTAATATATAAAATTCATGAAAATTCAAGAGGGTGAAAAAACAGGTGAAAAAAGAGGTGAAATCTCACCTCTTCACCTAAATTATATTTTTTGGTCCGGGAACAACTTTCTCTCAATTGGAGCTGTAGCATACTCTTTGCGTAAGCGGTTCAGACCTTCTTCGAAGTCTTGGTCTCTCTTGGACTGAGATTGGAATTGCTGGGGTGGAGCTTGCTGGAACATCCAAGGGTTGGGGAAGTAAGGCATAGGCTGAGGAGGGTAGTTCGGGAAGCCTTGTGGTGGGTAGTAACCTTGAGGTGGAAATTGGTAGTAATTCGGAGGTACTTGCTGGAACTGAGGTGCAGGGGCTGGTGCTTTAGGTTCCTCTGGTTTGGGAATGGACTCGGTTGGTGGTACGTCGGACATTGTTCTGAAACAGTACAAATATTGTTCTGAAGCAGTACAAATATTGTTCTGAAGCAGTGCAAGTCTTGTTCTGAAACAGTACAAATATTGTTCTGAAACAGTACAAATATTGTTCTGAAACAGTACAAGTCTTGTTCTGAAACAGTACAAGTCTTGTTCTGAAACAGTACAAGTCTTGTTCTGAAACAGTACAAGTATTGTTCTGAAACAGTACAAGTATTGTTCTGAAAAAGTACAAGTATGTTCTGAAACAGAAAATTTTTTCTCACAAATTGAGAGCTTTTACGGGAAATTTGTTCTGAAAAGTTTCAAGTCTTGTTCTGAAACAGTACAAGTATTGTTCTGAAAAAGTAAAGACTAGTTCTGAACAGAACAATGGACAACATCGAGCCATTAGATGAGGCAATTTACCTTATAGAGATAAATGAAGTTGTTAAGCAGTACTTGGGCAAGGACAAAGCCAACAAGTCCCTCGGCTTCTGGTTGTCTGGAAGAGGTGCGCTGAAAATCGAAATTGAAACCGGAATTCCAATTCAAATACCCAGAAACACTCCTGTAGACGACATAAAGAAGATAAAGAAAGAGCTCTTCTCAAGTTCTTTGCCAAGCGTCCTTGGATACAACTTCCAAACAGAGAGAGTCCAATTCCACGAATTATACAAATTCTCAGAGCACTGTTCCACTTCTCGGGTCAGCCGTTCTACATAACCTCAGAAGGCGACATTCAGCCAGTTCAGTAAACATCTCATTTTAACTCACTTTTATGTTTTTTGTGAAAGTGTCAAAAATAAATTGTTTTCATGAGTTTTCTACGATGTTAGAAAAAAAATGTTATTTTCTAATATCTTCACATTCAATACTTTTTTCAGCACTTTTCCGTAGTTATATATGAAAGACAATTCGAGATAAAAGTCATAGTACAATGGATAATATGTTGCACACCATTTGTTGTGAACCAAACTGAAAGTCAGAGAAACTGTTACTAGATGGTTCGTAGAATTTAGAAGCAAGTCATAAAAGTCCTTACCAATACATAGAAAACTATTGTGCTTGAACTGAAACTTGCATGACACATAACATTTTGAGGGTCAAACACGTTTCTATAAACCATCAAATTCTGCTGGTGGAAGTATAAATTTAAATGGACCATCTGGTGGTAATGGTTCGTTCTGGTTTAGTAACCGAAGAAATTGTGCCCAAGAACGTTTGTCTACTTCCCAAATAAAAACTCTGTATCTCTTGGAGGGTTAATTTCAATCTTTTGAAATGAAACGGTGGAGTTCATCTTGTCATATTCTAGTTTCAGATAGTATGTTCCATTTAGTAAAGAGTCGTATTTTTTTGAAATTCCCAATAATATTTGTTCATTTGAGTTTGAAAGTCATTTAGAGTTTTCTCAAGACTTTCGTCTGAACGAACTGTAAAGATTCTCATTTCGTCAAATTTGTCTATTAGACCATCAGAACCTTCATACTGCCCATGAAAATATACTGCGAACATAAATGCGTTAGTTCTATTTGAAAACAAAACTCTTCTAAATCCTATTGCCTTTGCATCTGAAGGACTTGAAGCCAACGAATTGGATAGTCAAACCTGTATGCTCGGGATGAAATTTCTTCATCTGAAATAGTCCTACCAGCATTTGTAAAGATATAGTCTAACGGTTTGTAATCTGCTACTTTTGTTCTTTGTTTTTCAACCGAAGCATTTAATATATGTAAAAATATATTGTTTTAAAATGGTATGCCATTTCATATTTCTCATCTAACAAACAAGTTTCCAACGGTCTTCTCCAAACAAATCAGCGTACATTTCAAATAAATTTAAAAAATGTCACTTTTTAAAAAATAAATTTTTTATTTCATGCGATGTTTTATTTTTGTGCCGTCTTCAAGTATGCCCCAATATTTCCTTTTCGATATTACATGAACTTCGGAAAATACCTTATCTAGCTTAAAACAGCCCATCTTTTCACCGACCATTCCCATTTCAATGAGTTTGTTATAGCCTTCTTCGTTCGTCATGAGTGCGTCAATGTTCTCATAGTAAACCTTCACTTTGGATTTGACTTCGGAGAAGAATTTGTTGTAGTTGTCAAGGACTGCCTTTGCGAACTGAGGGTAAGACCAATATTCGACAATAGGTTTTAATGTGGTTACTAAGCCATTTGACCTGAGTGAATTCGTACTTCAAAACAAAAGGAGAAAACCTTTCAACAAAGTTGTCGACCTTCTCATAATGTTTACTCTTCATCTCTTGAGGTTTCTTAATGGAATATCCCCATGTCGAATTCATAAGCAATTTGAGTGTCATTGCAAGTTTGGGGGTTTGAAGCTTTCCTAATATCATACAGTTGTTGTATGACTTTTCCAACTGTATAGTTCCTTCCCGGGAACTCACCATCTTCGTTTGGAATTCCAGTCGAATATATTGGACAAACCTCATGTATGCAGCGTTAAGGTCGACATAGTATATCTTTTCATCTGAGTCGAACTTGTCGCAACCAATTGGTCCAGTTTGGTGGAAATTCAAGTGAGTCTCTTATCTTCTGAGAAACTTCTCCTGTTATCTCATAAACATCGTCGAAGCAACCTGTTTCATATAAAACCTTCTGACCTAACTCAGATGCTCTCCAATACAATTTGACGTCAATTGGATGTCTCAATGGAAGTTTGTTTATAGCATCTTGAAGTTCTTGCAACCTCATTGAAGTTCTTCTGGTTCAGGTTGGTATCCGAACATACCAACCCCTTGTGGAACTGTGTACTTCTTTTGTACTAGAACTTTGTCTGGAACAACTTTTGGTCTTGCTAACAATGAAAAGTTTGTTTTCGTCTTTTGGTACAAACTTTCTGTAAGCTTGTCATCTGGAATTGGTTCCAAACAAACCTTTCTCGAAAAGAATGTTTACAGCTCTGACAATGTTGCACTTACTTTACCAAAGAATGGGTTTGTAAGACTTTTGTTCAACATGAAGTGGTTGTGGACAATTACAATCTTCAACCATGGTAAGTCTTTGTCAACAAATAGTCGTCATGTGAGAACCTTTAGCTGTAGGTATGTTGACTCGGATATTGACATTTGCCAACGGTGCAATTTTTGCCAATTGACCTCTGAGAATGTACCTTGTCTTCACACATGACTCAGATACTTCATCTTCTCATCTGTAACAAGACCAGAGTTCCTGAGACATGTAAGAATGCAAGGTTCGTTGACAATTGTTTCAATTGAATTGTAAATTCCATACCTTGTCAAGTCAATGTCAGACTTATTTATGAAGGGGAAGTATCCAGCATGTTGTCTGACTGCTTGAGGGTTAGGTTGGTACCATTCGAACTTGACACTTGCAATTCCTTCAGTTGCATTCAAAATGTCTGAGTCGGAGTCAACCATTTGTTCTCTCTTTGTAGTCTTGAAAGCGTCAAGAAAGTTTTGCGGCTGTTTGTTCATTGCCAGTGCATAGTAAATGTGACCATCCAAATCTGTTATGGTCAATCTGAGATTGTGTCCTTTCTTATTTCCGTCTTGTATGGCAGCAAGTACACCCATGAAAGCCTTCTTTGTTCTTTCCTTCGTCAAAGTTTACTGTAAAGGTTCGACCAGATGTAATTTGCTTCTAACTTCACGATACTTTTCATATGCATATCTTGTTCTTTCCATGGGAGCATGTGCGTCTTCACCTTTC